TTTGGTCTACTTTACTGGCAATGTCTTTTGGTTTTTGTAATTTACGATACATTACAACTCATTTAATACAATAGTCAATATTTTTTTCTTATGCTGCACAAAAGAAGAAATCGGTTGATATATAATATCCAAAAAATCATACAAAGCAAAGACAAAAATAAGTAACATATATTTTTTTAGAAAATATATAAACTATCTTTTTTCTTGTCTCCTAGTGACCATTGGAAAGAACGCAGGGATGTCTAATATTTTTGATGTAGTATCACCAAAAAAAAATTTGATTGAGATCAGTGACCCACAGGTCGTACCCTCCCCTTGTTAGTAAGGAAGTACTGTTTCAAGGGCAACAATTGTGCAGGGAGGTGACTGGGTTGGTTGGAGACTACGCTCAACCAACAGTTATTTCCTCTTTAGTTGATTATTTAATTACAATTACCCTCTTGATAGAAGTTGGGTATGACCCAGGAGGGTCTCCTGACACTAGGATCGACCCATAACTGATGTAACAGAATAAATAATTACTTGCCATCATAGGTGCACTTTCGATTTTGATTGGATGGGAGGGGAGCGATGGACCGAAAAAAATAAGAAAAATAAATTGTGGGAATTTTTATTATGTATAATAATTCAAAATAATTATTTTGAAACGAAAAAATATAATAATGAATCTTTCAAATTAATTTGTTTATATGTTTGTATAGTTGTAAGGATTTTTATTAATTTATTTGCTCATTTAGACACTTGAAAATATCTAAATAAAAATACAATTGAATATATAATCTATTTGTTTAGATTAAACACAGGGGAGAAGAGTGACAGCCTTCATTTCTGGAACTTTTTCAGCAAAAAATTAGAGCGTAAATAAGTGAAAAATATCTTTGATTTCTTAGTGTGTACAGCCTCATATAAAAATACGCTTTTCACAAAAAATGTGATGAGAATATCATGTGAAAATTAAGGAGTGATTGAATCATAAAATCCTAGAATAGGTTGATATATATTATCCTTGAATATAAATGACAATTTAAATAAAAGTAACATTTAGGTATCAAGGAAATACTTACATACCTAATACTACGCCCTAACCTAGTACACTTTTCCTAATCAATTTTAGTTTAAAAATTTTATTCATTCATGTATTTATTTATTATTGATTTTGATTTTTTTGACCACAAATTATTGGGAAAGGGAGAAACGATATTTTCGCCCCCTCAACACTTAAAATGATGGCGATCGCCTCCTCGCTCCCCGAAGTCTATGCATTAGCCTGCCATCAGCCAGATTTGAACATGGACCATTAGCTTAAGAAGTAAGTACTCTACCCAATAAGCTAAACTGCTCCACAAATAAATTACTAAACAAAACCAAATTTGAAAGATTTGTCTTTCATAAATTCAGTTTGAATTTATTTTTATTCAATAAATATTTTTATTTTAAATAAGTTAAGGAATATTTGATATATTTAGTACTATTGTCTATAATAGCCTTGAGGGTCATAAACCTCTCAGGTAAAGAGTACTGTGAAGAGTTTTGAAATAATTACAGTGAACCCTCGTGCTCCAACATAATAAAAATTGGAACTACTTCAGCAGCCTATACATTACAATCGACACCTGATTCAAACTATATTAAATGTAGAATATCAACTATTGTACCAGATATTGACAATAACCTTGACAATAGCTGCATTTTTTGTTCTATAAATGACACTTGATGCTGTGAAATGAGCTTTTTAAGAGAAAAAAAAAAATGTTGTAGTTACCTCAAGTGTGAATAATATGCTAAATTTCACATTTTTAAATAGTTTATAAAATTTTAACATGTAATAAAAAAAACTTCGCAGGCCGGATTGAAGGTGCTTGCTGGATCCGGCCCACGTGCTGTATTTTGGAGACCCCTGTCTTAAGAGATGCAAGATAAATGCAGGAAAAACACTGAGAAAATGAAGTTAAGTATACAAAGACACAAACAAACTTGCAATATGACTAAGAGGTTATTAATTGAGGAACTCAGTGATGCCAACAATTAAACAACCAAAGAATTCATGCAAGTATCTCATTGCCGCTGACTTACAGTTTTGACAACAGACTGAGGTACAAAGTTGAAGACAGATACAAAATTCATTGTTCAAGCCACATTTTCATTGGTTTAGGTTTACAACTTCTATAAGAGCTCAGTAGTTTTGATTAAAACTACTTGAGCAACCAGTTGTTTTTTTAGCTAAGAGTTAAACTTTTTAGATAATCACAAAAAGTCCTATTAATACAAAGAAGAAGCCTAATTATAATTTTTTTAAAAACACTTTTAACAAATGTTAATGAGAGAAGTCAGAACTATGGAGCATAAAACAAGTAGAATAAACATATTTCCATTTTAAAACTTATTTGTCAATGTGAAAATTTTGAAGAAAAAAAAAAGTATAAATATTTCCAATAATTAATTTTGTGAATACAGTAATCCCTTAACATTCAGAAGATATGGCTTCCTAGAAACCAGAAAAAAAATCTCAATATAATTTTTCTTTATAAAAATAAGAAACATAAAAAGAGATATTAATTTAACATTTGAATTTAAACAAAAAATATCAATATACGAGCAATGGTTATAAAACAGTAATTTTAAGATATGTAGATATTTTATATATTTCATTTATTTAAAGTAATAAATATAGAGAAACTATTTGCTAGATGACGGCTGAAAATATTTTGGGACTTGTGATTGGCAAAACAAACCTTTTTATAACATTTCAGAGAAAGAAAGGATTGCTGCTTCAGTTTTTCTTTTATATTTAAGACTAATCACACAAGAGGGTCATTTTCTAATGTTTTCACAATAAGTTTCAAGACTTTTCCAAAAAAATGCTTTTAACCTGCAATGAAAAATTTTATTTGCAGGAAGCTTATAACAATAACAGAACATATAATGGATAAAAAAAGTTTTTACTTCTACTTTTCGGATTCTTTGTATCGATTTATGAATTATTCTCATGCTCTAATATATGGATGTCTATCCCCTAATGGTTTTATTAGTTTGTAAAAATCATTTCATAACACATTACAAACTCCATAATCTCTATCTCTGATGTGAAAAAAAAGTTTCATTGTTCAATTTGTTAAGAAATTAATAACATATTTTTTTTCTTTTGGACAATGTTAGATCAACCATTTTACCAATAAGATTGAGTTAAGCTTCATTTGGATTTTCATTGTTTTGAAAATGGTCAAATGTTTTATTAGCAGATCTTATAATACCCTAATAATTAAATAAAAATAGAACTAGAAAAATATTTATATAATCTGTAAATAAATAAGTTTATATATATATATATATATATATATATGTGTGTGTTTGTTTCTGCCTTCAAATGATTTATTCTTTTCAGCCTCCCTAAAGCTTATATATATATACACGAGTGGGTGTGTAAATTGTGAATGAACCTTATCATTTGTGAGGAGTTTTTATTAGAAAATTAAGGGATTACTGTACATATATGCGTGTTTTAATAAGTAAATAGCATTTGACTAAGTATAATTTTCATTTTAAAATAATACATTGTTTATGTGATTAATTTTCAGGAAGAAAATATGAATAATTTCAAAGTACACTTCCTATAAGTGTTGAATGCTTCATATGAAAAATAATATCAACAGCCACATTGCAACAGCCTGTGAGCACAATAACTATGGAAAATAAAGTTTTGAGATTTTCTGGCCAATCTTGTCTTGGCGCATATTCTGATCCCACAAAATGAAATCTACGAAGTTTCATTTCTTCCTCATGGCCTTTTGTAAAAAGCATTAAGTTACAGTGAAGGTTATAGAGATTGAGTCATTACCGAAAAAATATAATGAAATGCTCAATGAAAGGTGGTCATGTAAACACAGAATGTATAAAGCGTTTTGTGCCCATAGGCTACAGTTTCAATTAGGTTTATTAATAGGCTAAAATAAATTTTTCTTATACGCTTTGTATACTTTTTCAAACTTTCTAATGAGTTAGAAGTAATGGCTCTAAAAGATTATTTGGCAGAAATGTGATCAAAATAGTTACATAAGAGGATTACACCTTTGTCTTAGGCCAGCAAAAAAAAAAAAAAAAAAAAAAAAAAAAAAAAAAAAAAAAAAAAAAAAAAAAAAAAAATGAATTGAACCAAAAATATAATGCTCATAGAACAAAAATTGTGCAGTTTTTTCCTTCTCCTGAATATTTTCAGTATTTGTACTTACAGGCTTTTGCAGAGTGGCTGTTGATACTTTTTTATTTATTTATATACAAATTTAAATTAATTTATCAATCAAAATTAATTTTTAATGAATTACATTCATAGTACAGTGGGCCCTTTTTAGAGAAATAATGCCAAAACAATTTAGGGATAAATTAAGGCATGTGTACTATGTAAGTCACTAAGCCACAAGGAGACTGAAAGGTATGACTTATTTGAGTGTAGAGGCATAATGAAATATACATAAAAGAATAGTTTTAATTTATTTATTCTCTATAGCCTATAAACATAAAGATTTTAAAAAAAGAGAAGAACATGTAATTTACTGATTAGTTGGTTTATTTGGGTTCAACACCCTTATCTGTTTCAATTATGGCAAAATATAATCATACAGGAACCAATCTCTTTTAGCTGGTGTGATAAGGTGAAGATTTGATCCATGGGTTCACTTCAAAATAAATTTCAACTACCTTAGGCTGGATTCAAACCCACTGCTTTTGACATAAAATAATTAAGTTGACCCTGTAACACATTCGGCCTACACTGGCTTGGTTGGTTAATAAGAGCATGAGACCGTACTTGGATGCACATTATAATGAGGGTCCACTGTACTTAATGAAAATATTATCATACAAACTTCAGAACTGATTGAAGAAGAAATAATTACCATTCTATTATTAATAATAGGAAAAAAACAAACAATGGTCTGCATTGCAAGTTTTGACAGCAAAAATTACAGGTCAGGCAATAATTTATAAAATAAAATAAATTGAATTACTCACAATATAACATTTCTTAGGTCTGTACTATATGTTCTTGACATGAGATCCAGACATGTCTGAAGGTTGTCCCTCTGAGCAGCAATCAAAGAACGGCAGGCCAATGCAAGAATAAGCTTCCCCAAAGCTGTCAAATCTTCTTGCTACAATTAATTGATTTCATTAATTCAACAATTTCGATTTGTTACTAAAATTAATTATTCATAACCATAATTCATCTGTAAAAATTGTGAGCACAATTTCCATTCATAAAAAACTAAGAAGTTGAATATAATTTATCTTTTTTAGGGGCCAAAAAATGTTTTGAAATTTTTATGAAGTCTGATTTCGAATATATTATTTACTGGATATCCACAACCACTTTGCACAAGTCTTAAAAAAGAGCCTATTTGTCATTCTAATGGTAGGTGATAGATTTGCATTGCAACTTCACTATTTTCTGCTGATAAATTTGAATTTAAAATTTATTAAACAGCTAAATAAATGCTTGTTACGTATTGATTGTAATACTAGCCTACTAACTTACCAAAATCAAAGATAAAAAACAAAACAATATCAACTAAAAATTCATAATAAATCTTAATGTTTTATTACAACGTCCCATACCACAGGTGAGAAACTACAGCTTCGGAGCCTAGAGGCCACAGGCTCCCCACCTATGCTCTATACCACAGGCTGTGAACGTTTTGATGATTAGAGACCGCAATTAGCAGTGATAATAAATAGTAAGAGTTAGGGAGTGATAATAAAGGTAGCAATAATTTTTGATATTTAACTATTTTTATTTTTATTTATAAGTAAATATAAATACCCACATATACGCTTATGTACATAGATTCAACTTAATTCAATTCATTTTCAAATTTTTGTGACCTAAATAATTAAATAATAATTAATTCTAACATTAGATTAATGAAGATCATTAATGCCTTTGAGGGCGCAGCTAGCTCACGGAGGCCACACGCAGATTCAATGCCGCTGGTTTCTCACTTGTGCCTTATATGCCTTATAAAACCTCATAACACTAACCTGGAGTAATGGATTTTTTAAATTTATTAGTGCACAAACAAAAAATACCTAATACTGTGCATTGATGATGGTTCGGATTTAAGACATTTCAAACTTCATCAGCTATCTAAGCATCTATAGTTTTTAATAACCAGTTTTGTTCATATGTTCATTTTCTATCTCTTTTGATGTTGTATGGTGGAATAAGAATTGTTTAATGATCATAAATAAGAATTAGATGATTGGAAGGTAACACTTATTGGAATGTTTAGAGCCTGAATGAACAGTATTTCACAACGGTTTCAATGTATTTATGTTTAGTGGATCTAATTTCTTTACTATTGGTTCCATCATTTGTACAAACAACTTACTACAGTTTATTTTTTTTAAAATGATACACAATGTTGAAGGTCCAATATTTTTAGATGCTGGAATTATTTTTTATTTAAATTGGATTTATCCATTAAATAATTTTTTTTTTTTTTAATAGAACTTGGCAACTTGCTTGTTTAAAATAAAAACAAAGCAACTGATTAAAAAATTAAATCCATATAAATAAAAGCCTTTAATTTATGAAAACATCTTATCTAACCACTAAAACATTGCTTTATTTTTTCTTATTGACACTGTATTTATAACTTAAAGATAAACTGCCTCATATTTACAAAAAAAAAAAAAAAAAAAAAAGAAAGAAAAATAAATGAAAAAATATTACAGAAAATTTCATTCAGAGCATTATAATTGATCATGTAAAGCAAAATAAGTTTTGCTATAAAAAGAGAGAGCTTTAATTAGAAAAATAGACAGATTTATTATAAACGTGAGCGTTATCATGAAATTTTATTTAAATTTGATGAATTGAGAGTCCAATTTTAAAAACAAAAATATCTTGAAATAGTGCTAACATTAGTACAAATAAAATATAAATATAATACCTGGTAATGTGGTATGAGCGATAAGGGGTTGTTAGATGATGAATCAAACGTGAGAAGATCAAGTATGCCAGTTGAAGATAACTGCAGCCTCAACCTCCCAGTGAGAAGTACTTTGGATGGGTCTATTACCCGACAAGCTAGATTGGCAGCGTGGACCATAGCCAAAGCACCCGTCAGCTGAATCACGTATGACCAGATTGTAGTCTCAGGAAGCATACTGCTCCTACCATCGTTCCGGGACAATCATCAACTAACTGAGCTAACACACATTTACAAGTTATGTGATTCTATTAATTAAGAGATATATTATCATCAACAGCTGATTTAATTTATCACTTAACTAATAGAATTCAGGTATCAATCAACATGATGAATCTTTTTCTATTTTGAAAACTCATTAATGGTTATGATATATAGTGAAACTTCTCTTAAATAGACATCAATGAGGAATCATGTTTCATCAATTTACAAGAAGTATTTATGAGAAAAAGTTTAAAATATGACCCTGACAAAAATCAAAAGTAGCATAATAAATAAGTAAGGACTTAAACATGTAAATAGAGAACTGAAAATGCTACAAATAATGTAAAAAGTGTTTACGGTGGTTTCTTTTTCCAAATATCTCTCACATAAATGTTCTGTGATTGACCAATCACTAACCACATCAACTTCTGCTCTTTTACCATTGAAGTTTTGTATCTAATTTTGTGTTGAGGTTCACATTTGATGAATTGAACGACAAATGTCCTGAATGTGGTTTGCCTTAAAGCTAGGACGACTACCATTAACTTTTGCTTTTTTGATGGTCCATTAATCGGTACAACAGCCATTCTTGCTCAATAAAACTAATCTTATTGAAGGAAACCTGCTTTACCACCCTAAGGGTCACTATTGCCTTAGAGTCACATGGAAAGTCTCAATGAATCTATGAGATCCAATTCACTAAGTCAATTTATTGATCAGAATACCAATAAATTTCCCATTTTACTAAAAGAAAAAGATATAAGATGAGTTTTTAAATATATTTATTGAGTAAAACACAGTTACATAACTTTAATAAAATAATCAGTACAACAGCCATTCTTGCTCAATAAAATTAATCTTATTGGACGTAACCTGCTTTACCACTCTAAAGATCACTAGCCTTAGAGTCACATGGAAAGTCGCAATGAATCTATGAGATCCAATTCACTAAATCAATTTATTGATCACAATACCAACAAACTTCCCATTTTACTAAAAGAAAAAGACATAAGATGAGTTTTTAAATATATTTATTGAGTAAAACACAGTTACATAACTTAAAAAAAATATTTAGAATCAAAACGAAAAATATGTTGACAAAATTAAGAACTTGAAAATTAAATTCTGTATACCATTAAATAGGAACACAAAAATCACTGAATACTAGGGACAATTATAATATGATTAAACTGGATATAAAAATAATTAAAACGAACACCATCACAACATGAACATTAGCCTCTAAAGACCTCCAATTATTCATCGATTGTCATGTTTGCTCCAAATGAATAAAAAGATAGGCAGTTTCAGACAAAATTCAAATATATACATGACATATTGAACTTCTACAGCACGCGTGAGGTACCTAGTCATAACTTTGTATCATAACTGAATTAAAATGGTTAAGACTGGAGTTGAATATAAAAAGATTCTTTGAAGTAATAATGATTATTTAGTTATAACCAACTGCCATCCCGAGAAATAATGTCTTTTCCTATCAGTCAACGACTTTTTGAAAATAGACAGGGGACTAAATATGTGTCAATTTTTATTTATTAAAAGCTTTGGTTAGTAGAAGTTAAAAACAATATCAAGTAAATGGTATGACACAGGAGAAAATGAAACTGTCCGTTAAAGGTAATTCCACTCTAATTGAAAGATTTTTAACACAAGGAATAACTAATAACTAATAGTTATGTTACTTCCCTTTTTCTTTAAATGGGATCTAATAATATGAGCATTCAGATTCATTGGAGCAGAGGGGATGTAAGCAGAGAGACCATATAAAGGTTTAAACAACCCCAATTAATTTGTACTACGTATCGTAAAGCCAATAAACAATAATGGCAGGAATGTTATTTGTTTAGAAAGCCAATGACAGTATCTTATTTTAAAAATATTACAATAATAATATTGTCAGAATACATATTTTTAATTGTTGTTTTAAAGAAGTGACATTTCAAATACGGACAAAAATTTTTAATTATCAAGCTAATTCCCTGCGATCCAATTACTTTTTGTTTTGGTTTGCTTAAGACTTCCATTGAATTCCTATACCCAAATTCTATTGGCACAATTTAAAATAAAAGGAATTATATTCAGATGACATTCTGAAAGTCATTTATCAAAGAAATATCAACAATTTCTACAACAGCCATACACTTAACACTTAATTAATGTGTTTTTTCTATTCGGACTTTAATTCTTTTTTTTATCAGGAACAATGTTGATAATAGATATTTTATTGAGAAAAAAATAAATAAAATCTTAAAAAATGTGTACTACAGCATGAGAATAAAAACAGATTAAAATTATCATCTTTTCAGAAAAAATATTTTATAGGAAATTAGGGAAAATTAATGTACAAGAGAACTCATTCATGAACAATTGAACCATATATCAGATGGATACTAAGAAAAAAAAAATGTTGGATAACAATTGCCTGATGATTTCAGTCAAATTGTAATTAAAGTAACTTGGAGAAATGGAAGAATAAGCTTATAAGTATACAGAATACGGGTCAAAAAATTGTTAATTGAAGATAAACTTAGAATGATGAGAATTACTTAATATCTTAAAATCTGTTGTAGAGTATTTAGTTTAAAGTCACAGCGATTTCTTGGTTTCCAAGATCAACTTCTAACAAACCAATATAGAAAACAATATTCAACTTACTTTAATCACCAAAATAATCTAGTTAATAAAATAAATAAAAAAGAAAACCACTGACTAATATTAACTTAATAGTAAGTATCTACCAACTGAATACTGACATGCTATTATTGTTAACATATTACCATAAAAAAAAAGCATACTATTTCATAAATTGCACTTACGTGTGCTGTTGTCTGAGAAGAGAATTTTTGTTATGAGAATAAGGTCTGGGTGCATTAGGGTTTGAAGAAAATGAGTCTGTATATCCATTTACTGCTTCAGGGGATGTAAAGTGGTGAGCCAAAAGAGTTTCTGAGTCCGGATGATAGTCATAAACAAACACCATGGCTACAACATTAGTAGAAGACTTCATTAAATTAATCTTTAACAATTTATTGACAAATCGTAATAAATAGCTAGCTACTGTACCCTCAGTAGAACCACCACTACAATCATTATATAAACAGGCACAGACAAAACAGTTCAGTCTCTTTTTCTCTTCTGTTTGGCAACCAATTTTCTTTTTGTTTAGTAGCTATAGACGACCTTTAGTGTTATCAATAAAAAAAAAATTTAAAACAGTATATAAATAAAAATATAAATGCTGGTTTGTTCAAAACCACTAATCTCCAAAATTTTTATTCGTTGCAATCAAATTCCGAATTGTTTTTATATGCATTTCATTACCACTCAGCCTTTTGTTTCGAAATAGCAACTGAAAAATATGTGTTGCTATAAATTATACAGTAACGATTTTAATGAAACTTAGCTAAGTCTTCTCCTTACAGCCCTTTTAATTTATGTATATAATATACTTCCCTGAAAAGAGATTGAAAAAAGTAACGATGGATTCAGAATTTATTTTGTGAATAACCAAAACAGTACACAATTTTAGGTTCATTAGCCTTAATAGAATATTTGAAAGTTTCCTGAATCCCCTACAAAATGAAAAAAAAGAAACTAGTCTGGTTCGGTGCGTGCATCACACAACTTTCACTTACCACCTTCTTACCAGAAATAAGTATTTTCAGACAACGTGAAGTGGAAGTAGAAATTATAGACACGATATTAATTTATATTTCATTGTGGGTATTTTTATTTGTATAAGTACCCTCATATATACAAATTTTAATATTTATATTATTGTAATCTATACAATTAAATATTAAATAATACTAACAATAGCATTTATGAAAACCACATATGTATATTAACGTAATATTATCGGAGTCTGTATTATATTAAGCTCATGTTACGTATGAAAGTGTGTTCTAATCTTTCGGACGAGTTCGGGTGTGTTCGTGTACCTTTGGTTCCACAATTACAACTATTATTATCAGAATTATGATCTCTTATTCCTCCTTTAGTTAATCATCAAATTCTTTCATATTTTATATTAAAGTATTTTTTATGTAAAAAATTAATGTGAAATGGTCAATTGTTGCAAATAAAAAAAATTAAAGGCACTTTAGAGAAAGCTAATATTGAAAATTAGCCATTTAAACCTTGTTAGAGAACATCAATCAGAATAATAACATTTTATTTAAAACTGCTTAATTTTACAGAATATGATGAATTTAATCAGAGTGGTTTTCAAGATAATTGTAAAAATGTGTTTAGTCCATTATATAAAGTGTCACTTCCGGTTAGCCGATTATGAAGAAAAAGTTGTTGAAACATCTCTAGCATATAAAAACCTTAAATAAACAATTTCACTTCCGTACAAGTTTTCGTTTTTGAGCTGTTAACACACACAACACACAGACCATTTTGTGGGACATGGTTACTTGGACTCAGGGGACCTCAAAACGTGTATTTCTGTTGAAAACTGAGATTAAAAAATTTTCACAATCGCAATACTTTCCTTTAATATATATTTCATACATAGGTAAGCGAATGTAAAAATCATCGAAATTGAAAAGAATCATGTCTGAAAAGATTTTCTTTTGGTTTGTATTTTTTGGAGAGATCCACTTTGATCTAAATCGATCAATTTATAATTGGTATATTGCTTTAGTAAGAGCACAATGTTAAAATGAAACAATTGGTATTGACTGAAGGAGCAAAGTGGGTTCAAAATTTTTTTTGAAAAAAAGTAATGGTGGATTCAGACTTATTTGCAAATAACTCAAAAATAACACAAATAGCATTGCACTGTTTTGTTTTATAAGTGCATATAAAAGGGTATGTAAGAATATATGAGAAGGAAAAAAAAGTTGGAAACATGCTAACTCATTTATGATTTCCTCAAATTTTCAATAATTGATTACGGTCGAATTTCGAACACTGAGCAAACACTAACATTCTTTTTGAGAGGATCCTCCCGTATTCTGAAAAGGAACTGGGGAAATATCAGGCTGGATTTCGAAGAGGACGCTCAACGACTGATCAACTGTTCTCTCTGAGGATGATCCTAGAAAAGACTATGGAGCGTAAGGTAGTCACCCACCATTTATTCCTGGACTTTAAAGCAGCATACGACAGCGTTGATAGAACGCAACTATACTGTGCCTTGGAGGAGCTAAGCATCCCTCAGAAGCTCGTACGCCTAATCAAGATGACCATGGACAGCTCGAGATGCAGAATACGCGTCGGTTCTGACGACTCCGAAGAGTTTAAAGTGAGCAGTGGGGTTAGGCAAGGGGATGCCCTCGCCTGTCTATTGTTCAATTTGGCAGAGGAGAAAGCTGTAAGAGACTCCGGTATTCAGACCAAAGATATAATCTTCAATCGCCTGACACAGCTTCTTGGTTTTGCTGATGATATTGACATAGTAGGTAGGTCTGAACGGGCTCTCAGAGAAGCGTTTATAAGCCTTGAAGCAGCTGCAAGACCACTTGGTCTAGAAGTCAATGAGAGGAAAACTAAGTATATGAGAGTTGGCGGTGAGGTTGATCTGAACTCTCCATTTGAGGTAGGTTCTTTTAAGTTTGAGAGAGTGAAAAGTTTTATATACCTTGGGTCTGAAATCAATAGCAAGAATGACATGGCTCAAGAAATACAAAGAAGGATCACGGCTGCCAATAGATGTGTCTTTGGACTTGGCCGACACTTAAGAAGTAGGTACCTCTCAAAGAAGACCAAGCTGATCATATACAAGACCCTTGTTCGGCCTGTTTTGACATATGGCTCAGAGGCTTGGACGATGACCAAAAGGGATGAGATGAAGCTGAGTGTCTTTGAGCGAGGAGTCCTCAGAAGGATTTATGGTCCAGTAAAGGAGGGTGATGTCTGGAGGAAAAGAAAAAATAGGGAGCTCAGTTCTCTCTATGCAGACATCGACGTAGTCACGTATATTAAACTGGCCAGACTAAGGTGGGCAGGGCATGTGGCCAGAATGAGCACCCTTGAAATACCAAAAAAAATAATGATGGAGGAGCTGCACCTCGTAAGACGGGTAGGAAGGCCGAGGACGAGATGGTTGGACAACGTGGCCTATGATGCGAGAACCCTGCTTGGTGTGCGGAACTGGAGAGCTGCAGCAGAAGACAGAGCCAACTGGCGGAGGCTCTTGGAGGAGGCCCAGTCTCGGTGACGGGATGTTGTGCCATACATGAATGAATGAATGAGCAAACACTAGTACAAAATTAAAATACTTATTACCATGAAAATTCAACAAAATTTTGGATAGTAAAACTAGAAAAACAATTTCCAAACTAAGCTAAATTAATCCTACAAACATTACAATTCTTTTGTCTGAAAATGTTGATCTTATGAAGAATCTAGCAATGAATTGATAAAATCATTCAAATTAACAATAATCATAAAACATTATCAGTCCAGTGATTTTATATAATTCCAAAATTTTGGAAATTGTATTATTAAAGATCTAATAACTCGAGGTATGCTATTTCTAGGCACTAATGATCAGCGATAATTGTGTGCCAATTAGTCACCTTTAAACAAAACAAATGAAGTGAGAGGGGGCTGTAACTCTACCATATATCATGCTAAGGAATCTTCAACTAATGAAATCTAGTCAATTAATTCATTGTGAACATATCATAAGTCAGAGAGCACTATGGCAGAGAGCATATTTTGATTGAGAATTCATTACAATAAAACTTAATTTGATTCAAGTATTTTAATTTAATAAATTAAATATTTAATGAACATGAATAATATTATAACAAATATTAATAATATTATTACTCTGCCAAACTAAGGAAGTAAAAAGAATATTATACAAATTAAGTAATAAATATTTCACACTTTATTGTTACTTGAAACTCATATAAAATTTTACAGTGTCATAAAAGTTTCAAATTATCGCAATTGGGAAATATTAAAATATTTTTCTATAAGCTAAAAGATGATTTACATTTACTTACATTGATCCCCGAAGGCTTTTGTTGTAAAAACTTCGCGCAACTGAATTATGTTGGAATGATTTATTTTTTTCCACATATCTACTAAAACCATACATTTTGAGTTGGCCAATCTGAAACCTACAATATTTTATTTTTTAGAGTATTTAAATAACAAAGGGTCAAATATCAGTCTTAGAAAATAGAAATAAGTATTTTTTTTAAACCATATAAATTCTGATGAGGAATTTTTATAAATAGTTTCAAAAAGTTAAAATGACTAATTAACATCAATCATTTATTTTAAACATATAAATAATTAAACAATCATAAAAACAGTAACTGCCAGACAAAAATCTCACAAAGAGAAATATGTTTGACAGATCAAATTCATGACATTATTACCACTTCTTTTATATTAAGGAATGCCTAATTCTGATTGCACTCATGAGAGGCCAGACAGTTGTTTAATATCAATATACATCACATTAAGAATATGTAGAATACTTGAAGTAGCAAATAATATGAATATGTGGGAATAAATAATCACAACTTTTTGGATTACATTATATTTGTAATATATCAGAAAAAAATATTAATCAAATAATATAATTTAAATTGAATTTATGAATGAAGATTTAGAATTGAGACAATAAATTACCATGCACCCGCCTAAGACAATATCTCAAACCAGTCTTCACATTAGTAGCTTTGTAAGTAGAGGTTTGATATGGTATAATTAAGTGAGGTTTTGGTACAGCAGGCAGTGGTTCCAGTGGGACTAATTCATGGTAATTGTCCACTTCTAAAGGCAAATCTGTAAACAAAATTTAATAAATAAATATAACACCTGACAAAGGAAATTTGTGAGCAAAATGAAAATAATATTTTTCCACCAATAATATAATTTTTAAAAAACAAATTACCACAACCAATATAAGACTATAACAATGATATGGATGAGAAAAGTGACCAATAAGTCAGATGCAGCCCATCTAGTGGCTTTATCTAGCCCTATCACAAATTTCAAAACAGTAACATGAAAATTTCTAATGAATTTATAAATATCATAGGGTGCACATTTACATTTTAATTTTTGGTATATGCTAAATATAGTTTTGATAATTTAATTGGCAACTGATGCAAACAAAAATACAACACATCAAAATAGACATGAAAAAATTAATTGGAAAAAAAATTTGCTAAATTAATAAAAATTCATATCGAATGAATAATACGTACTTAATTAACCGGTAACTATAATAAAAATAAAATATTTAAAAACAGTATTATTGTAACTGCCTATTATGTTTTCCTAATTATTTCAATGCCAAGATGAACATAAATGAAAATTATTCCTATTAAATTGGTATATTTCCAAAGGTGAATTGGACTTAAAGGTTTTAAAAAATAAAACACATGTATCTCAACTTTTATAAAAAAAGTAAATTGATGTAATTTAAAGGAAACAAAAATCAGAAGAGTCCAATGAAAAATTGTACAGTATTAACATAAGGAAGTCTACCTATCACAGGTAAATACAAACTTTCTACAAATAAAACTAATATATTAATTTACAAAAAATAAATTAAAGCTTTTGTTTTATTTTTTAACTAACAACTCATTAACCCTTTGACTGCAGACGGGATATATGCCTTCCCGTTAACAGTTGGGTCACTGGTGCGAATGGGTTATATGCCTTCCCGTCTGGGAGGTATATATATATATATATATATATATATATATATATATACATATGTAATGTAATAAATACATGTAAAAACATACAAAAATTAAAATGTAATGGTAAAAATTAATAAATGTAAACATATACAGAATTAAAATGATCTTTTAGTTGTTACATCATTTTTCAATCCACCAAAAACAATATATATATTTCATATATTATAAAAGTGTTCAAAACTACTAATAAATGTAAGTGCAATAATAAAATTTATAACTGCGCTGTTTTAATATTGAACTTTTTTAGGTAAGAAAAAAATTTGTAAATACAAAGAAATATATAATTCAAATCCCACCGTCGGGTCGGTGTTCTGTTTTTAGAAATAATATAATTTAAAATTATTTTTATGATAATTTTCAGTTAATTTGCTTTTCAGAAATGAGCAAACATGCAAGGAAGCAAAGTGTTGCGGGATTGCCGCTCTAATTTTGCATTGCTATGTGTGGCCGGGTAGGCATATGTCCCATTTATTAAAAGCTGAATAAAAATGTTAAAATGCATTTTTGAAAGCTAAGATCTGGCAGGGTGACTCAAAATAATATTTTAAACAAATTTATATAAAAAAAAAAAAAAAAAAAAACGGTTTTGTATTTTTTGTTTCCGTAAATGTTAAAAATATATACCTAAAATAATTGTATTATCTAGTAATTGCAATAACACTTAAGACTCCCATGCTTCAATGAAAATTATACCCATCAGTCCTTTGTTATTTTACTGATATTAGAGGAAGCATAAAAAATAAAAAAATCTTACCAGTTGATTCATTATGTAACAATATGAAACATTTACAGTAGAGGAGTAGGGTAATAATTAAGAGAGAAGGTCATTTACCAGGATATAAATTAGGATCTGGTTGTAATAAAGTCAGATTGTTCTTATGCTGAATTTCCAACCTCAATTGGTTAGACATGTGATATGAAGTATCCGCATTACGAGCAAGATGTGCCAAAGCAGTCTTCGCATGAGAAGGTGTACCGGGGTATAACGTGACAGCAGCATTGCTTACAACTTCCTCATCGTTAGAAACAGCCTCAGGAGTTGCATAAAAATATGTTGTTCCTCCTACATATTCCTGCAGCCAAGAATATAAATCAATAACTAAAATAAATACTTTAAAAAAATCAATGTGAAATAGAACCTGTTGCATAATATACCATAAAATATAACTTTAATAAACGGTTCTCTGAAATATACATAATAAATACATTTTAAAAAGCTATCTTAAGATAATACTGTTTAGTTTACACTTATTTTGTTTGCTTGGAGACAAAACAAATCTTAATAAATATACTAGAATTTTTTAAAATAAAAAAATGATTATAAAAATATTGATATCAAAACTCCAATGAAAATAGGTCAGCAAAATGAGACCGGAACTTAAGTATAAGATTTGGAGACACACATCAAAACCCGGTACAAGATGTTCTTACAGAACAGACCTGATGTTGCATTTAACCCTGCAACTACAAATTTAGTTTTCAAGATATTGCAAAGGACCACTCTAATTCTGGCATTAACTCTAAAGAAACCATGAGATACTAACCACATAAAGTTAAATTTCTTAAAACCAAAATATCACAATCTACTGCAGTTCATGGTAAATAACAATCTTGTTAAAAAAATGAAGTGAAATAGCCCTGAGATTCATATGGCATCTCTATCAAAATAGAAACTATTCAAAATAAAAACAAACGCGTACTGTGAACATATTTTTCTTATCTTGTTAACGCAGTCAAAGCGGTTATGAGGTTCTTATCCAGGTCAGGCTTCTATATACTACTCCTAATAAATGAGAGAGCAGCAAACCAAGAAATTTGATTTGCTGTACCAACCAAACAAGTATTAGCCATTACAAAAGTTGATTTAATATAATGCTAAGAATAGCGATTAACTGAAAGGATATTTTCCAATTAAATCCAAGCTTATTACCAATTAAGTAAATATTATTTCATCATAGTCATTGTAAGTACATACACAATATCTATACTAATTGTGTTTGTTGAATAGGTTTTCTCAAAATAAAATTGTTAAAACAAAGAAACATGTTAACCATGTATTACTTATACTTAGAATGTATTAGAGAGAAGAATAAACATCTGATGCAAGTGTCTTACCACATATATTATAGTTTTATTATACATATTAGTCAATAATAACAATGAAATAATGAATCTTAAGGTTTCAGTGAAAACATTAGTTAAACTGAGATTTAATTAATCAAAGTTTTCATTTAATCGATGTCACACAACATATATTAAAAAAAATATTAATAATATTATTTTCTATGGACAACAATTAAAGTTATTACAAACATTAGATTAAATTATTTGTGAGTATTTTATAATTTAATTATGAAAAAAATCATCAAAATGACATGGTTAAAACATTTTTTTTAAAATTTACAGTGACATTTATTATCTTCAAGAATAACAATGATGTTGGACACTCGATAGGAATAGATGACGTTATAGTCTGTAATTGTATAGAGAGGAAAGTTATAGCTTTATGATAGCTGGATCCATAAATAAATAATTTATTAAGGTAGAGTTCAACAGTGATTAATCATTTCAGTTCTTCCTAGGTTCTTTTCTCAAGGTTCCAACATTTAAAAATAAGGTTTATTTATATGTTGGTTATAAAGGTTCTATAATAATTGACTAAAATCTTCATTACAGATAAAGAGTTAAACAATATTCATGGTAATAATTTAAAACTGAAGACAATTTCTTTCAAGTCCGTTTTTTTAGTAATAGATCCATTTTGTTTCTTTCTCCATATAAAATGGCTTATTCATTTAATTAAAAGCACTAATTCCTGTACTCATTAAGTGTATGAAAAAGCAGCGTGTAATCCAAATTTAATGCAAGCGAAGGCTAGTAATTTATAAATAGAAAATCAGCTTCAATTACAACTTATTATTTAACTACTATTTAGTTTCATTACAAACTAAATACATTTCACTTAATCATAAGTATATTACTAAGTCGTTATAAAAGTCTACATGCATTACTTCATTGCTGAGATTAAAGGAATTATTTTAAGCTTTATTCAACTCTGATGTACATAATCCATATATTCTTTGACTAAACATTTATTTCATTATGTAGAACAAAAGTGTTTAACCTTTCATTGTTTTATAAAGTTTACTGAAAATGTCAAAGGAAAAGATAAGATACCTGGTCCACAGGAAAAAAAAGGACAAAGTACGAGGGCTGTAGCTGAGGAAATTAGTGAGGCAGCAGTGTTTTGGTCCAAGATAAATGATCCTGAATTACTATAGTATATCAGCCAGGATTTGTTTATCAACACTCGAGGATTATAATCTAAAATGGGAGTTTCTAAAGCTACGGTAAGCTGCTGTTTAAACAAGATTAATATATGACCTTTTATCCACGCAATCCTAACAAGGAGTTGAAATTTAAAAAGAATTAAAACTAGCTACGAAAGTTTTAAGAATTGGAGAGTGTTAGCCTCTGTGAACAGCCTTATCTCCTGATAGCCTTGATAGTGCTTAGTTCAACTTTTGTCTTTTCCAGTCAATGGAAAATTTTTGGAAAACTAGCACTTCAAAAATCAGAGTATCAGGATGAGTTTTTTTAAAATTAAGAGCTGATATCACCACTACTTAAACTTCTGTTAGAAAGATGGTTTAAAGTGAACGACAATGATGGCCTATATTTTTAAGAACAATTTGAATGCACATTGGCTCCACAAACAAATCAGAGGGTTTCAGAAATAAAAATAAGGACAGTGAAAGGTAAAAAAATTATATCAATTATGGAGTAGGAATATCCTAAAACCAAAAGGAATTCATTTGTAAGTATAGTATTAAACATTCTGACAAATGGAGGGAATATAAACCTGGACCATTAAGGGTAAACTTAGAAAGAAACTCCTGGCAATTAAAATGGATTACTGGTGATGATAGGCAAATATATCCAGAATGCATGAAATCAGAAATGAAAAAATTCTAGAAAAGCTGGGGCTGAAAAAAAAATTCTCGAAGAGATCGAAAAAAAGTTCCTCAAGTGGTACGGACATTAAAACAAGAATGTCTGAAAGGAGATTATCAAGGGAGGTTTACCTTTGAGTCAGAGAAAGGAGAGGTCAGACCTGAAAAATTTGGATTGGGCAAATAAAAGTGTATGAGGGAACATAGTTTGCTAGAGGAATGGACTCAGGTAAAAAAATATAGAAGAATGCAATAAAAAAAATATTAATGTGCATATTTTATACTGAAATTTAAATAAAACTTATTTTATGCACAAAGCCTTTTGTAATGACCTAGTATATATATTCTTATGTGTTTATAATAGTAGTACCATTCAATGTAAATCTTAATTACAACTCAAATTTAACAAAAAATATATTTTATTACAATTTTAAATTATTTACAATGGTTATATTTATATCTAATTACAGTAATTCATAAGAAACAACCATGTGGGGACCAAAATGCAAGCAGATGTAAAAATGCAGCGAAGCACTTAAATATATACTTAAGTTTACATGAAAACATACTTGATAAGTAGGAACTGTTGGAGTTGGTGATGAATTTTTTAACTGAGCAGTAACTGTCAGTGGGGATGTGGAATTAGAAAAATGAAGAGCTGGTGAACTTCTAGGAATAAATTCACTAGCTCCAGAGGCTGTCTGAAAAAGAGAACAAAACCTACTTCAATATTCATAACCATCCCTCAAACAATATTTAAATGAAACTATTTCATCATATATCTGAATGAGACATATTTATCTTTACCAAGTTATATCTTGTTAGCAATGATACATTTCAATATATCAAGCAATATTATAGTATCTGGAGCTGTGGTGTTATTTTACCAATTTTGAGTCAAGAGTAGCTGGGGCGTAAGTTCGATTACAGCCTGGGAGGATGAATTTTATTTTGTGGCAGACCCGTAAAATGAATCTCAACCTTCCTAATTTGGCTAAGAGGTTAGAAAAATGAAAAAGAGTGTCAATTTCTGCAATAAATACCTCATTGTACAGATTACGATAACTTTTTCAGCAATGAACAGTTTTCATTCCAAAACTGCATAAAAATATAAGTTATCTGTCTAGTTTATAATAAAAATTATCTGGAAGAAATTATCACAGAGAAACTCTAAATTTTAAGAACCATAAACAAAACATTGATCTAAGAAATATTTAAATTCGTTAATATTATAAATAAAATTTATAAGGACTAATCAAATGTTAAAACATAGAGAATAACAATACATTTAAAAATTATTAAACAACACAGAACCCATGCACCAATCAGAAAAGAAAAATGAGAGAAAAAGAGGCATTATAGGGATAAGGATGGAAGTATATTCATTGACATTTTTTATCTTGGAGATTTTTCTAATAGGAACACAAACACCATCACAAGAGAATCATGGAAGGCAAATCAGTTCAAGACTAGGAGGATCATATAGGAAGTCAAACTTTCATAATAAGCTGTGGATGGACATAATTCCATTAATGTGACATAAGTTATTAAGGCTAATAACTAATTTATTACTTATTTAACCTTTACCTTGTTTTTTACTGAAGTTCTAATATAAATTAGACCTAAATTTCAAATTGAGTGTTATTAGAAAAAATTATAATTTTAATGGCAATAGCTATGGATATATAATAAACTACACCAACAATTCATGATTATTCGCACTGTTTATAAATATTAATCAAGAGAAAATTTTATTAATTAAAAAGTGAGAGTATCCTTGGAAAAAAAGTTTCACACGGTCCTTTGAAAACACTTAAAGTACAAAATTTAATTTAAAATTTAAATTGTAAAATTATAAACTGTTAAATATTTAAATTTTAGATATTTTTAGATAGAGATTTTAACACTAAAAACACAAGCTGGGGCTCTAGAGTGTCCAGCACTTGTGGAAAAAGGCTACAAAAATTTATCGAAGATTTGAAACTTCTATTCATTTCTCCTACTTCACTATCAGTCTCCCAATTTTCTTGATTTCTTTGCCACAAGCTCCTTACTACATGCACATTCCAATATTTCCTCTCCCCTTGACCTTTTATCTAATCATAGTCCAGTTTTACTTGAACTCTCGAACAACAGCCTAAACCCCTGACATTAATTAATGTCTACATAAACTGGAACGACTTTAAACATTTTTGAACAACAAAATTAAGTTAAACACTTTCATTAGTACAACGGACGATCTTGACGATGCAGTCAATGACTTAACAAAAGGTATAGAATGGGCTATTTGGCATTCAACGAGACCATCAAGGACATACACTAAACCTGCTTCTTACCTACCTCAGCCAATAGGTAACCTTATAAAAGAAAAACGTAGGATTAGACCCCTTTGGCAAAGAACTAGATATCCATCATACAAAACAGAACTCAACAAACTAACTCGAAACTATTATCATTTGAAAATGGCAGCTATAAGGACTATATAGACACAATAAACAACAGGAATGGATCAGCATGGACAACAAGACATAGACTAAAGAAAAAAGACCTTCAATACCTTCTATGGCTTACAGACAACCCCTGGTCAATAAAAAGCGACAATAAGTGAAGAAAAGCCAAGTCAATGAATACGCTACATATCTTTCACAGGTATTTGGGTCAAACACAGACTCTCACTAACACAATAGAAGTTGAATTGACAACACAACTATCCTTAGCACTACCCCCACCGGTATTTCATTCAGAAGAAATTTACAAAGAAATCAACAGACGACCAAACAAAAATGCTCCTGGCTATAATCTAATCACTCCCTTTATTCTTCAACACCTACATCGAAAAGCTGTTCTTTATCTTACACACATCTATCACTCCATTTTATGCACTACCTATTTTCCTCTCCTTTGGAAACTCTCCATAATTAAAATGATTCCTAAACATTCAAAACCTACCACTATTTCTTCATCCTAACGTCGTATAGCACTTCTCTCTATAATGGGAAAAATATTTGAAAAACAACTCCTGAACCATCTAAAGCCTATCATAGAAAGTAGTGAAGTGATACCTAAACACAAGTTGGACTTTCGTTCTTATCACTCTACTGTGCAACAGTGCCATCGGATAGTAGACGCTATCTCTGTTACTTTTGAGAAAAAGGAATATTGATCTGCAGTCTTTCTTGACATAGAAAAAACATTTGATTGTGTCTGGCACAAGAGCATATTATTGAAACTAAAACCGCACCTTTCATTTATTTTTTAATTCTTCAATCCTTCTTTCTTAACAACTTTGTCTGTACTTAAATAAATTCTTCTGTTTCTTCCTTCTTCCCCCAACACATGGTCGTACCACAAGATAGTGCCTTAAACCCAATCCTCTATTCTCTATACACCTCTGATATCCTTGAGCACACTAGCACCATCATCTATTATTTCGCTGACAACCCTGCTATTCTTTCTTCACACAACAATCCTACTATTGCATCAATTGTCTTTCAAAACCACCTTCATGATCTTGAAAATTGGTTTGAAAAATAGAAAATTATCATAAACAGTAACAAATCCACCCACGTTAGTTTTTCTCTAAGGAAAGCCTCATGAACCCACCCCTCTGCTTCCCTCTCCCCATAACGATTGACAATAACCCAGTGCCTTCAAAGAACTATAAACGGTACCTCGGACTCTACCCAGACAAAAGGCTTACTTGGAACATACATACAAAATTAAAAAGACAAGAACTTATTAGACGATATAGCCAACTCTCATATCTTCTGGACTACAGATCTTTACTTAACTTATAAAACAAGCGACTGATCTACAACACCCTACTGAAATCAATATCAACAAATGGAGCAGAACTTTGGGATTCGGCAAAACAAACACACATAACCAAAATACAAACAGCACAATACAAAATTCTATGAAAAATTGTTAACAACCTTTTCATTGATACATTTCAAATAACACTATACATAATGACTTAAACACCAGTAAATTCCTACATCCACGACAAATACCTATATATTTCATTTTTCAACTAAAAATCATACCAATCCTCTGGTTCTTTCTATCTCCTGCTCTCTGTTATCTGAACGAAGCAGGATAAAAAGGAAAAGGCCAGGAGATCTACTATATCGATAATAACAAAATCAAGCAAATAAACCAAAAATATATATACAAATACAACCAATTTGCTAGAAGAGCTGCTGCGCAGGTGCAAATTGCATGTAATACAAATAAATAAAAATAAAAAAATGTAAAATTAAATTAAAAACATTTTTTTAATTAGAAAGTATTTTAAACAATTTTTTTAAAACTATATATTTTTATTACACCTTTAATGTATGCTGGGCTCTGGCCAAAAGGGGATCAGACTGATTTACAATCTCACTATTAAAATCTACCAATAAGAAACATATAAGACTTTTGAAAATTGAAGGCCATTCAAAAGTGCTCAGTCCTGTTCAACCATCAACAACCTTATTGTATACATATTTTTTAGTAGACTAATGAGAAATATGTGGGCCAAGATTCTAAAATGCTATTCTTTTTAGTTATTGAACAAATTGAAATAATAAGTCAGACATTCTTACAATAGAAAGAAAAACATTAGAAAAGCTATTCTAGACAACTCAAGATTTGAAGTTCTGAATTAAAGGAGGCCTGTAAAAACATGTATCTCTAGGATGTGCAGGGATGAATTCGTATGAAATTAATTAAATATACTGATTATTGTTATGTGCCAAACAGCTTTGTTGAGGAAATTATGCAAGATGTTGGCAAATCTTTACAGAAGGCAATCGTGAATTCTGAGCTGTTAAACCTTTATTTTAGCTTAACAGAATTGTTTTATCTTTGGTTTGGAGGCGGACAGAGGTGTGTTAATAGCAATTGGTGGTATCCTTACTGGAACTTTCGATTTACCAAGTCCTTTATTGATTAATTGAAAATAGTTCTATCATTCCCTTTGATGGATATTTATAAAATGCACTTTGATGACACAAAAATAATTTTGCAAATGTTATGATATTCTTCACAGCCTACTTATTTAAAGTAAAATGTTTTACTACAAAAGATGTTGAAGTTGAGAACACCAAAGACTAGCCAGAAATAATTATGAAATCAATTAATAGGGTTTGGCAAAATTGATACTAAAGAAGTGGTACCCATCAAGAGTTTAGTATGACATTAATGTTGTGGATTTTAAGATTATTCCTATATTAGTAGATTTAAAATGTTATTCCTATGTAAGTGGATTTAAAATGTTGCAGCAACAGGACATACTACAAAGCTTTCTAACAATTATGGCAAAATATTAATGCCAACTTATTGTACACCGGTTCCCACACAACATAACTTAGGTCTTTTACAAGGAACCAACAGACTTGCGAGTTCTTTTATTTTTTCATGGTACTAGTTCACAAGAGTTCCGCACGGATTACACATGGTTCACAATCACTTCGGTAACACTTGTTCCTGGAATCCCGAATGTGTTCGGGTTTATCCGAAAGAAAACGAAGGCGACCGATCTCTTGGGCCAGTTACTATTAACTTTCCCGCCATTTAAGTACTACTATAACCTTAATCATGTTCAGTTATGTAGCAGGAGCAGATTTATCTTCACTAGAAAATAGTGGATGCTCCTATTATTAGAAATCAAAAAAATTACATAAACTAGATAGATGACAAACTAAAAAAGGCTTGCTAAAATAAATTATAAATGCAATTATTCCAACTTCTATTGAAAAACTCGAATAACAAATAAAAAGATAATGGATTACTTCAATTTTTTTATTATCCAAATGATATAAAATCTTTTATACACAGTTATAAAAGATAATATACAGTATATGCGTATTTACAGCCACTACATGTAAGCATGTGCCAATAAAAATGTTATTTCTAAAAACATTTTTTTTTTAACAGGCCTTGAAGAAACGACTCAAACATTATTTTATGTATTTTTTTCTTTTTCTTTGACAGGGATAACCGTTATAATAAAAATTAGAAATTGATAAATCTGTAAATACACAATTCGTTAATAAAGAAGTTCCATAAAGGGAATACGTTGGTTTTTTTTTTTCTTCAAAAATGCATGAAAACATGTTGTGGACTGGGGCAACAGCTGACATCATAAAATACGGCAACATTCGGCTGTTGTGAATGTGAACCACGCGTAATCCGTGTGGAACTCTTGTGAACTAGAACCTTCTTCATTTTTCTAGTATCTTCATTTCATTTTCATTTAATAATCCTTGCAATAACATAATTAGCAATTGAATTAATATTTTTTATAAACTCTTAAAAAGAAAATTAACAACCAAATATATACAATTATTTTAAATTTCAATATTTTATATTGCATTAACAATTGACAATATTGTTCTATATGTAAATAAATATGATCAAGAGACTGTTATACCTGTCAACGTATATACCAAAACAAACGTATTACCATATTGCCTTAGCAATAATTGAAAACATATTTTGTTTAATTTATTAACCCTCAGGTTGTTTTTTAATTTTATTTAATTAATGATTCAATAATTTAATTGAATGATACTTCTCTTTGAAGCAATCAAAAATGATTCAAAAAGAAAGGTACGTGAAGTACAGTACATTATAGAGAATTTGGATATTGCCATTAATTAAGTTGGTTGGAGATTGCTATCATGGAAGTACACAAAAATAAATTATATCATCTTTAAATAAGGGAAATTCTTATGATGATTAACAATTATTAATCATCTAATGTATTACTTTGGATGATTGACTACATTACGGTAACCTTGACATTAAATAATATCAATCTAGGGACAGACAACAATCTTTAAACAGGACAGATAATTCAATTGGAATTCTCTTAGCAAACCACTGAAACCCAAAAAATTTTTAGTAATTAAACCTAATTGTTTTATGTCAGGTGAATTCTATCAAACCAATTTTAATCACTTATAACATTTATCAGTTCTATATCATAACTAAAATAATAATATATTTGACTGATCTGTATCATTACAACCCATGAATGTCCATGGGTTCAATATTTTGTAAGGATGTGTTGTTTCAAGGCCAACGGTAGTGCAGGGAGCTGATTGGGCCAAGATCACACTCAACCACCAGGTGTTTTCCTTTAATCGATCAATTAATTATGGGTACCCACTTTACAGAGTCTAGATGGGTCCAAGGAGAGTCTTCGGACCCAAAAAAAAACCTGAACCACAAACAACCCGTGAAGTGTCATGGGTGCAGTACTATGTGAGGAAATATAAGCCAACGGTTGTGCAGGGAGGTGATTGGGCGAATATCACGCTCAACCGCCAAGTTTTTCCTCTTAATTAATTTTTTAACTAAGAGTACCCACTTTATAGAAGCTGGGTGTACCGCAGGAGAGTCTACCGATTCCTGATTAATGAAAAATTATTAGTCATCAGCCGGATTAGAACCTGGAAACTTGAGCTCTAGAATTCAGTGCTTAGCCACTGAGCTACCCCGCTCCCTAAAAGGAAGTAGTGCAAAATAAAATAATAAGTTATGTTTTTAAAGATAGATATAAATTAATACAACAGTGACATATAACCAGGGGCAGGGAAATGTAACAGGTATGTCACTTTTTATTAAATCAAGTTAGTGATTTCAATGTATTCATAACGAAAAGCTGCATTTTTCATAAGAATTAGGATGTGAAGAGAAACAATATTATAGTTATTCGATTTGTTTACTGCTAACTCACTGGAAGAATTAAGGCTATTCATGCTATATTTATTGAAGCCAATAATTCAATTGAAAAACAAATTAACTTATCTAATTTTATCTCTAATCATTCAGATATAAAAAGAGAGATAAGTTCAAACAATCTACAGAAATGCATACTTCAAATACTTTGCAAAATAAAATTTATAAGATACCTTCTTTAACACTGGAAGTGGATCATTCAATGACAAGTTCGATAAATTTTTATTTAACGAATTTGAAATTGGAGGGCCTTCTGTTTGCCTTTTCTGAAATTATAAAACAAAATTAGGAATAAGAATTTTTTCAACAGTTTATAAATTCAGTATTATTACTATTATAACACACACAAAATTACCAGAATTATTACTTCTCTATTAGCCATATATAGAAAAATATCCATACAGTTACTTAATACTTTAGGAAAGTTTGTAACTCTATAATTTAATATGTAACATAAAAATAACTAACCAACTACTTAAAAAATAAACCAAAAAAAATCACATATAAGTACTTTGTAAAGCTACAGGAATACTACTAATGATTAAAATAAGACACATATGTTACTACACAAACACAAATACTAGAAATTGAAAAAGTACAGGATCATACCATATAAGTGGCAAGCTTTGATTCTTGAGGCACACCATTGTAAGAATTGTAACACATTGGGTCCATTTTCATTTAAAAAGTCTCTGAAATACAATTAGATGAAAAGTGTAGAAGATGAGGTAAAATGCAAATGAATACCTAAAGAAAGGTATATATCTGCTAAAACTTAATTTCCATCTAATTAGAATTATTCTGGAAGGATAAATTTCACTAATTTGTGACGAAAATAGACTTACCTTAGCAAATTTCCAAATAAAACACTAACAACAAAATAAACATTATTTTCCTACATGATAGCTAGTTTAAAATTCAACAATTTTTTGACATAAAATCAAATAAAACAATAGTTAAGCAGTTTTCTGCCTTCATTTAGTTCGACCGTGGCGGCGTATGCACCAGATCATACACGCAAGAACCATTCACAAAAGTTTACACACAATCAACAGTATATACAATCGTTATGATGTTTGTCTTCAACATATGGCGTTCCTTCGTACACATCTGGATTAGGCAACACAACTAACTCGTCATTGTAAACCCTAGAGCGCTCTGATAATTGTATATACAATAAAAGTCAAATTGGTGCTGATTAGTTACTTGATTTTTTTTCTATTCTAAGTCGTATCATATTTTATTCGTTAACGCATTAATAACTTCTTCATTTTCCATCAGCTCCTAAAACAATAACTAAATTTTAGGAATTGATCAACTAACTGCAGATATAAGGTTAAATTTACTTGCCAGTTTTTTTGCATTTAAAATATGAGATAAAATAACGTGGTTGAGCCAGTTATCATCTCCAGAAGACGAATTGCTTCCATTCTGACTATTTGTTTGACTAAAGTGGTCTAATTCTTCAGGGGTATTCGTCGTGTTATCACTAGTACTAGTTACATTAGTTTCTTCATCAACCTTTAGAACAGGACTGGGTTTACTTTTTCGATAAGATATTGCTTTTCTTCTAGATTTCTTTTTGCCTTTGATGGTATCATATATCAAACTATCTTTACTTTCTATCTTACTGTATTTTATTTTACTCTGATCTAAGGACCCAGAAGTTGACTCTCCTGCAGATATTGGTGATTTTTGTCCAGTTGTTACTGGATGCTCCATTTATTGGATTATTCAAGTTCTATATTTCATCTTCAGTAACAGTAGCCTTTAAATTGGTAATAGAGCCTTCTGTTCTGTAATTAAGTTCAGGTTATGGAAATCAGTCATAGAGCAACCTAGTTATTACTATACAAATCCAAATATGAATTACGAAATAAAAGTTCATTGAAAAAAAAACTTACGATTCAAACAAGTTGTTGCAGGTAAAGTGGTGCAGTATGATTGAAAAGGTCAAATGTAACTATGGCCGACGACGCCAGAAGAACGTCGACTTGTAAAGTAATTTTTAGTATGAGAAAAAACCAACTATAATGAACCAGAACAAAAAAACCTGGAGGAAAATACTTTATGAAAAGCAAGAGTATCCAGATAATTACACTGATTCATCTTTCCTAGAAGGAATGGAAAAAAATGTCCACTTTCATGAAGTAACATACAAAAAAGCATTTGTTGGAGCAAGTTTAGTGACTCAAGAATTTTGTTTAGTGATTTTTTTCATTTTTAGTTTTGTATATATGTACAACGGATGGTATTCTGCTGAAGCTGTATTCACAGGAACCAGTTTGTTAACATTGTGTGGCTATTTAATTTATATTTCAATTGAAGCCCCGAGTTTAAGACATTTATATGATATAGTGTTTTATTTGTTTCTGGGATGGCTTCTATCTCCTGTTCTACAAACTCTCACAGCTACTATCAGCACTGATACAATATATGCGATGACTGCATTTATGATGACTGTTCATCTTATATTTTTTGACTATGGTGTCAAAGTTCTTATTGTTTCAAGTTCCTTATCAATTAATGCAACTACTTTTGGATCTCTATGTTTGGCTTCAAGGCTTCCAACACCATTTGATACATTTGTTATTTTGACAACAGCTATAGAATCATTTGTCTTATGCCCAATATTTTTTTCTAAGATAGGTAGTAAGCCAGTCATCCCAGCCATCATGGTTGTTTTATGTATTATTGGTTTGTATAGTATATCATTTATAATGACAGTTATGTTCATTGGAGCTGTATTGTTTATTAATGTGATTTGTCCTATCTTATTTGTGAGCTGGCAAAGATACAAGGAAAATATATATGGTCCATGGGATGAAGCAGTCATTCCTCAGATTAACTAAAATAAATTAGTTTTTTTTTTTTTTTAATGTACAATCTATACTTTAATTATTTTAAAAAGATTTTATTTATCACATAGAGGCAGGAATAAAAAAAAGTCCTTATTAAGAATCTTTATTTTTAACAATTTTATACATAAGAAAAAATAAAAATCAAGTAAATATAAACAATCGAAACATCATTTACACTAATACATCTTGTGTATATTTGGAAAACAGATCAATGCATTTATTAAATGCAAAGTATCACATCCAAAACTCTTTGAATGGAATGGATACATTTAAAAATACAATATGTAACAGACGACATTTGTAAAAGGTTAGCAATGGTGGTACAAAACAAATTAATTCTATATTAATAGTTAGGCACGAATTGAATCAGCTTCTTTATCCTCCTCAGAAGTGCTTCTAAAAACCCTTTGTCTTTTGGCTCCATATCCTAAAAAAATAAACACAATTAGAATCGGGAAAGAAATTTAAAGAATTTAGTAATATACCTTATTACCTCAAACTGTATGGTGGATTTAATCAACTACAATAGTGGCCTCATATCAAAGATGGACATGTGTTATTTTAAAAAAAATAAATAAATAAGAAAAAGACAACTTATGTAACGTTCTTAAATAAAATCATCAGAAACAGTTGAATCTATGAAAATTGAATTTATTCACTTCCTGAAAATTGCAAATGTTTGTCTTTGGTATGAGGCCACTCATATTATTTAGATAATTTGGTAATAATTTAATTTTTTTAATTATATGGAAGTAAAAGTTTTAGCAGTTTAAACAAAAAAATGTTATTTAATTGGGTTTTCAAATTAACTCATTATTATTTCCCTGGAAGTAACATAAACAAGAAATTTATGGTTAAAATATGTGCCCAGTGTTCTATGTATAAAAGATCTTTTTCTAGGGATAGGGCAAGTTCCTAAACTTAGTGCCGAGTTCAATGACATCATTTTTTCCAGTTTAAATATGGACCTGATGCCATGAATGAGCTTCAGCACTGAGTTTGGGAACTTATATTTGCAATTCAATATGCAGTGCATTTAGCATTATTAAATAATGTTAGGTAAGAAATTATTATGGAGCAAACTATAAATCTATTTGATATATTACATCCACTTCAAATATTTCAGTAAAGCCATTACAAAATAGTATTTTTCTCCATCATTAATTAAATATAAATGACAACTAGTTAATTATTTCCCAATATGTACACTTTTTATTTGGACATGGTAATAATGAAGACTATAACCATTTTCAAAACAGACCTTGTAAGGTATTTCCTGATATTTAAGCAATAAGATCTATGTCATAATCCAATTGAGTAAGGTAAAACAACTTGTTGACAATGGTTCCATTATACCTGCTGAATATCATTTCATCATTTACAGAACAATCAGCAGAATTTAACATGCCCCAGATTTTCCTCTTAGCAAGCTGAGGATTGTAACATTGAAATTGTGTTAATTCAATTTTATAATTTCTTGATGTAAATACTAATTTGCTTTTCTTTTTAAGATAACTACTTTGATGCTTTCTTTGTGCCACCCTATTATTTTATTTTTTTTATATAACTTTTATTTAAACCTATCAAGTTTTACCCTCTACTTTTTCAATTATAATTTTATAATGAGCTACTGATGAAAAAGAGATAACAGGCTTAGTACATTATGCAGAAAACATTTGAGACTTCATATCAGGCGGCAATATGTAGCCAAAATCAAAATTGAGTTACTGGTTTATTTCTATAATTATTTTTCTCGTTCTATTGAAACAACACCAAGAGATGGATTTATTAAATTGAAATGAAAAGTTGTAGGTGTTCTCTGTTGAAAAATGTCCAAATGAATGGTAGCTAATTAGAAGATGAACAAATGAAGAATTTCTCAGTTCAGAAACATAAGATACCGATAAAAATATTAACCGGAGAAGCACAACTCCATTGTAAACTTTTTCAATGCTGGAAAATTAAGCCTGGAAACGTTGCTTGAGGTTACTTTTAACATTTTGAACAGGCTTATTATATTGATACTGGAGCAGAGGCCAATTGCAGACCTTGACTGATCAATCCAAAAGAAGTAACCTGCCTGAAGCATTCATTCCACATAAAAAAGAAAAATTTCAAGATGTTGGAATGTTAATAGAAAACCATATTGAGAAAAAGTGGAAGGGGGATACCAGTTTAGAATGGTGTAAAACATGACCAAACCCCCTGGCCTCTGGAACCCCAGGATGGCAGAATAGTAAAATACTACTGGTAAATATGGTGCCAATGCATTTAAAGATTTTGATTGAGCCTAGTATTCCAATATATTTTATTTTGATTATTAGATTAGATAAAATTTATTTATATATAAATACTGCATTAAACATTTTTATTTTCAATTACCAGTTTTAAAATATATGTAAGTGTATTAGTTGAAACTGATTTTAAAGTTCTTAGGTAAATTAGTTATGAAACATTTGACTACTAAGCATAGTCCACACTAGTAGACATGTAACTCGATTTTGGTGTCTGAGACACGTCTACAGGCTAATCTCCGTCTATAGGCCTGTTGCGAGACCAAAAATAACAGGTTTAAAGTCTCCTGATCAGAATGGGAGACGTTAAGCAACGTTATACTTGTGCAACATTTTGATAGTGTGGACGTCTTGAGGGGAGACACATCCCTACCAGCCTCCAGCTAACAAGTGGTTGGTTTGGCTGTTTAAAGTTATTTTCAAAGTTTTACTGTTCTTTTGAAAACTTGTGGACTAACAAAAACTTTTAAAACTAATTGAAGATTACCGTGGCATCACCTACTCTTAATTTATTTAATAATGCATTACCGAACCTAATCCTTCTGCAAGCATTTCCAACAACGTTTACATTTTCATGTTTCTTCACTTGTAATTAGCACTAAGCAGGACTCATTCTGCACAAAATAATGTTCTCCATGGTGGGCTACAAAGACGAGACTGAGAAAGTATGGATGTTAGACAAGACAAAGAATGGTATCTATAGACAAATCGCAAAACAATGTCTATAGTGTGTACTAGGCTTCAGGAGTCATTTACATTAAAAACAATCATGCTTGTTTAAAAAATGGGTTTCTACAACCATGCTTACTTCAAAATACTCTTTAGAAAAAACAGAGATGTGTACTTTCAAAGACGAATTTGACTGACTTTTTAAACCATGTAGATATCACTTCACCGAATTTATATCACTTCACCAAATTTATATCACTTCACCGAATTTATAAGTTGAATTATGAAAAAAAAGAAATGAACTGAATTTGTTTAAAATGAAGCCTTACAATGAAAATTGTTTTTTATCAAAATTACAACAATGACAGATATGTATTTGATATGAGGCCACTCATATATTTTAGGATTTGAATATTTATCTTACTAAAATTCTTTTATTATATTGAACAACTATTGAGTACAAATATAATTCATAAAATGACAAAAACAGCTGAGCCCACAAGTATCATATAAACTTTGAACAGCTATCAGCATGAGAAAGCTGGATATAAATTGAAATAGTAGGTTCATAAACAAAAGGAATATTTAGGTCATGATGCAAGATAGAGTCCTGGAAACATAAAATAAAGCCATTTTTTCTTAATGATTTGATTAGAAAACCAACCAATCAGAAATGAAAACAGACCTGTTATTAATTACACAATTTTGTAATCTTATAAAGTTCATTACAAAACTTACCTTGACAATTGAGATAAGAGTTTTACTGAAGGTGTCACTAAACACTGAAAGAAGTCCTTGTTTAAGATGATTTAAGTCATCACATGTAACACTCCAGGATATGTCAAAATCCATTGCTTGAGGACCTTCTGCAAAAATTATAAAATTTATGTGACCACATGGCAGTTTTTACTCAACTATTTTTAAATCCAATATTTTCTGAAATCCAGATCTCACGCCAATACAATAAATTTAAGTTAATGCTACATATGGCTACCTAATTTAAAGTAAGAATCTGAAAATGCAACAGATTAACAAAAGAACAAACTGGATAAATAGTTTTTATATAATCATTAATAATATATCTTATATTATCATACAACAATATTACATTTATCTAAAGTCATGATTAAGAATCCGATTTTAATAACAATACATATTATTTTTTCTATGACTTCCAACAAAAAATGTGGAATATAGATGAATCCATACATTCTGAGTATATATTGATAGTTTATTTTGTAATCTTATGGTTTCCTAGCACGTATCTGATTATCAAGAAGGGGAGCATCACACTTGGAACTATCTTGAAGTTCGTTCATATTTAGTCTCATCGAATCTCAGATTAATAAAGTGCCACAGGCATGACGGGAAATGAAAAATAATTTTCAACACCCTACTCACATATTTTTAATTCAACTCAGTCCTGGATCTCTAAGAACATAAAACCTATATCATATCTAATCTGTAAATCCTGACTATTTCTCATCCTCATAAAAATTAAAATTTTCCTTATCAGGATCTAATTAGATAGATAAAAAAACAACTTTCTTCTGGGACAAAAGAAAGTTGTCCCTCGAGTATAACAAAATTGTACAAAAAGAAAAGATTACTTCTGGTCTAAAAATTTGAAACAATCAATAAAATCTAAAAAAAAAAAAAAGTAAATAAAACCTTAAATGAACAAGCTAAACACAAAACAGATAAAACTATATATAATGGTGGAACAGCATAAATATACACTTCAACAAATGAAGAAAGAAAAACAGACAAAATAAATTAAATTCTTCTCATAAAAAAGCTCCAAGTTTTTAGAATAGAATAGAAAATAATTTTGAAGAGAAGAATAGTTGGGGTGGTCAGTCAAAAAAGAAGGTAAAAATAAAACAGGCAAAAATGTGAACAGCATAGCTCAAAAACAGGAAGTTCTGCAAAACTGACTTTACCTATTTAAAATATATTTATGCCTAGGATTTTTTTTACAACTTTTGTTTATGAGACAAAAAACTTTTTACATCCTGATTTGATATCCTCATTGTTTTGAAGTGCAGGCTTAACAAAGGAATGTGCCATTGACCGAAAAAAATTTCTGTCAGACGGTGCATTGTCAGGACTGAGGAAAATGTGGCTGCTAATTCCCTCCATTTTGAATTTTTTTTTTCTAAAACAAAGCGTAAACTATGTGCAGGAGTGTTTTGTTGTAATATAACTTTATTGTGATTACATTTAATCTCAGTGTCAACAGCTCTGCCATCTGGAATCACTAGAGTACTACTAACTGGATAAAGTGCAAAGTTTTTCATAGCTTTTGAAACTTCTCATTTTGGATAATAACTCTTCTGTTTTATTTTATAATGTTGCTGTAGTTTATTGTGTATTCTCTTCAATTTGTGAGGGAATTTGCATTTTCATGGGTTTATGATAGGTATTTAAAATCAACAATGCTTAAGTGATTAAATATATACATCTCTTAAAACAAAAAGCAGTTTGTTTTAGATTATTAACTCAATAAATATGTACAAGTTAACATGTGTTCATGACATCCGATGAATTTTCAGACTCTTCTGCACCTCATTCTTCCTGTTTCCTCATCCAATTCAAGTTAGAGTTTCAATTTTCCATAGAATTGTAAATAAACTATCCCTTGCCATGTAAATGATACTGATTTAATTAGAAGAACCTTTGAGGTCATTAATCATTTCATGAATCGTCCTGCTGTTGGGTATTCCAAGAATAGACTAGTATCCTGAAATACAAAAATCTGTATATATAAGACATTAGTAAGGCTGGTATATGCTTATGCTGAACTATAAGCAGGAACCAAGAATGCCTGAAGATCAGTTCTCAAACTGAAAATTCTAAGGCAATTGAAGAATCCAGTAGATAGTATAGCAAAGATGCCTGATCCATGTATACAAAGTGATTGCGCAGAAATCCTTCCAGCACTCCTTTCATCTACAATATCTCCCTGCTCAATTCAATATTCCCGATCTCTTGGAAAAAATCCATTGTCCTTTTTTAAAACAAAAATTCTCTCCCGAAGCTACCCGCCCAATCTTAATCCTTTCCAATCTTTCAAAACCTCTAGAAAGGTTGGTGCAATACCAAGTTTCCAGCTTTCTTGAAAATCCCAACTCGATCCTCTCCAATCTGGTTTCCGTCCTGGCTATTCTACACAATCTGCCCTGATTAAAATTACCAGGCATTTTTCTAAGTAAAAAGTTTTAAGTGTCTTGGCAAGGTTTCAAGAGTTTTGTTTATAGATTTTTTATTTTGTATATAGTATGTAAAACTAATATTTTCTTCAATGATTTAGCTTTACCTTTACTTTTTATGTTTGTTTTTATTTGGCCAGATAAAACATTTTAATTTTGTAATTTTTCTTGGTACTTTTCGTCTAAGGGGCCGCTACTGACTGCTATCTGCCAATGTTTATAACCTGAACACTGATAACTCCCATAAAGCACTGATAAGCCTTCTTTTACTTCATATCTTCGTATTATTGTATTAAATTCGTATTATTGAAAGTGTAAACAGATACAAAAACAAATTTAATAACAAAAAAAATACTTTTATTTGACGACACATGTATTAATGAAATAATAAAAAAAAACACTTTAAGAAGATATGTACATATAAAACATCAAAATGAAATAATAAAAAACACATTTAAAAGAACATATTTACATAGAAAAGAAAAAATATAAAACGAAATCGGTTTTATAAAAAGATAAAACATTCATCTGTTTCTCGACAAACTCCACCAAACATCCACTGCTGAGATAAAACTCTCCCCACATGATTTTTTCGTTTAGAAAAAAGACTTTCTTTTACTTCAACCACTTTGCCAGGTCCTCCAATTTTTTTTCTTGGCCTGTATAACATGTCATGGACACAAACCTCTCTTAGACATTTCTTCCACGTTACGATAGCACTGTTGAATAGTTTCAGCTGCTCTTTGGCCCACTTCATCGTTGTCAAGCTATGGGACCATCCATAAATCAATTTTAAAGCTGTTAAAAACGAAATCCTCGAGCCCTCCAACCATGTTCCTTTCTTTATTGAAAGTTTTGTGTCATAAGTCCTACGAAGCATCTCCATTTGGCCTTCCTGGTTGACTTCATTCGATGACCTCGATCACACGTCGATTCAAGTCGGCAAGTACCCCAACATTTTAAAAATATTGAAGTGCCTGTTCTTCTGAAGGCGTCAAATTCCATATTCTAAGAAGATCCATAATATGACGAAAAGAAACACAAAGGGGCCACAAACTAAAAAAAAAGTAAAATAAACACAAACGGGCCAAAAACTAAAAATAATGAAAAATAAACACAAACGGACCAAAAGTAAACAATTTAATAAGTGAACGTAATAAGGGAATAACTGAAAACTAAACAATGCAATAACTGAAAGGGGATAAGAAGAGGGAGGTTATGTGACATGACGTTTGATAAGATAGATAAGAGGTGAGGTTTCAGTCCGGCCTGCTAGACTAAAAGTACCTTTTTCTTATTCTGAAGGGACTTCGTCCAAGAATAAAATTATTTTCTTAATTGGTAAATGGTAGACTGTCGTGGATAATGAAGAGAAGAATAGTTGGGGTGGTCAGTCAAAAAAGAAGGCAAAAATAAATGATAATATTTATTTTTACATATACCGACGTTTCGACCTGAAGTTCAGGCCTTCATCAGGGCTAAGAAAATAACCAGATAACAAGGTATGAGAAACATAAGTAGTGATGGTAAAAAAAAAATAAAGAAATCAATTATTAAAAAAATAAAGTAAAATGAAATTGTTAGAATAATGGCAATAGTAAGAACTAAGATTTTATTTTCTTAGCCCTGATAAAGGCCTGAACTTCAGGTCGAAACGTCGGCATATGTAAAAATAAATATTATCATTTAATTTTGCCTTCTTTTTTGACTGACCACCCCAACTATTCTAATTAAATCAGTATCATTTACATGGCAAGGGATAGTTAATTTACAATTCTATGGAAAATTGAAACTCTAACTTGAATTGGATGAGGAAACAGGAAGAATGAGGTGCAGAAGAGTCTGAAAATTCATCGGATGTCATGAACACATGTTAACTTGTACATATTTATTGAGTTAATAATCTAAAACAAACTGCTTTTTGTTTTAAGAGATGTATATATTTAATCACTTAAGCATTGTTGATTTTAAATACCTATCATAAACCCATGAAAATGCAAATTCCCTCACAAATTGAAGAGAATACACAATAAACTACAGCAACATTATAAAATAAAACAGAAGAGTTATTATCCAAAATGAGAAGTTTCAAAAGCTATGAAAAACTTTGCACTTTATCCAGTTAGTAGTACTCTAGTGATTCCAGATGGCAGAGCTGTTGACACTGAGATTAAATGTAATCACAATAAAGTTATATTACAACAAAACACTCCTGCACATAGTTTACGCTTTGTTTTAGAAAAAAAAAATTCAAAATGGAGGGAATTAGCAGCCACATTTTCCTCAGTCCTGACAATGCACCGTCTGACAGAAATTTTTTTCGGTCAATGGCACATTCCTTTGTTAAGCCTGCACTTCAAAACAATGAGGATATCAAATCAGGATGTAAAAAGTTTTTTGTCTCATAAACAAAAGTTGTAAAAAAAATCCTAGGCATAAATATATTTTAAATAGGTAAAGTCAGTTTTGCAGAACTTCCTGTTTTTGAGCTATGCTGTTCACATACACAAACCAATTTACAGATTGAGTCAGGGGACCTCAAAATGTGTATTTCCTTTGAAAATTAAGATTTAAAATTTTTCATGATTACAATACTTTCCCTTACTTTATTATTTCATATACTATGATGAATAAAAGTAAAAAGAGGAAGAAACAAACGTTTGGAGGTTTTATGATAGATATATTATTATGTCCGAAAATGTCTCAGAAGTAAAGTCACATAAGTAGTATCTAATCACTTTTTTCAAACATTCCTTCAAACACTTCTTACAATGAAATAAGCGAATTATTAGTATGAATTCATTGTGTTAATGTTTTATCATAGTGTCATTAATTAATATCAATGATTCAATAGGGAAAGTAACTTGAGTAAGTTGAGTTTTTAAATTTGAATTTTACTTTGAAATTCACCATTTTTCTGGGTATACATTTAAATGCTGTATTAATATAATGCAGTATTTAAATGAATACTGTAAACTATTATTAATATATAGTTTTTAAATGGTGAATTTCAAAGTAAATGAGAGATGTGTATAACTAATCTGTAATATTACAACAACTATAATATTATGATTATTATGCTGTGCTTACATAATAAGTGCTCAGTTTAATTGGAGTAATTACAAATAATATTTTATTTTGATTTCTTTTTTTAATATTTGTGTCATTTATTGTATATTTATTTAAAGTTTATTCAAATGCATTTACTTGAAAATTAATAAATTTATAAAAATTGAGAAGTGCAAACAAGTTAGTTTTATGTAACCTTTCCTCTCCCCAAGTTGGGGCTCAACCAATGATTTGCCGCAGGCCTCAGTACTTCTTGCTAGGGCACTGTCAAGTACTACTGGTATGGAGAAACTGTCACTGGTATACCAAGTGACTGCTTCATCTCATCTTTATAACCTTACTTAAAATTATACATCTAGATATTTTTACTTACTGGGATGTTTTGAAAGTTCTAGAGTTTTAGTAGACAATCCTCTTAGCATATAGAAATCAAGATGAGCCCAAATTATGTACAGACAATGCTCGATAATGAAGTAGCAATATTCAAGTTCTCTCTGCTTATCATCTCTCTGCTGTTGTAAAATTTTGGTTACTTGTCTTCTTCGCTCACATTCATCATTTAAGTTATTGCTCTGTTGAGGCAGGTACTAAAAAAAAAAAAAAAAAGTATCATCAATGATTTATGAACAAAATAAAAATAAATATTAACTAATATCAACAATAGCATTTATAAGAACCTGATATTATGTATATAATATTGTTGGAGTCCATATTATATTAAGTTCATGTACGTATATTTCATTGTGGGTATTTTTATTTGTATAATTACCCTCATATATACAAATTTTAATATTTATATTGTTGTAATCTATACAATTAAATATTAAATAATACCAACAATAGCATTTATGAAAACCACATATGTATATTTACATAATATTATCGGAGTCCATATTAACAGCGGACTCTCGGGAGAATTCGAGGCCAGACTTAAAACGCCTGATGAACTGCGCAATACGTTTTGTTTTCGGAATCTCAAGAGATACGCATATAACCCAGTATTACACCAAGTTGAAGTGGCTCTATCCGTCTAATCGCCGCCTATACTTCCTTGCTAACTTCCTATACCAAGCCATCAGAACTCAGCGACCTTCCTATATTTTTCACAGCCTACAATTTAAATATTCCATTCAATCCTGTACTTCTGACCTCTATCCACCTCACTGAACTGCTGCGTTTGACAAATTCTTTATAATTCAAGCCGTCTCCACCTGGAATACCATCCCTCCCGAAATCCGACATGCGCAATCAGTTTCCTCATTTAAATCCCTCCTTTTTAAGCACCTACTTCTTTCCCAACCCGATTGATCATGAATAGTAGATAAGAGAAATTTGTAAGTTCCCCAAGAAATGATTTCGTTTGATTATGTTATTTTATTTTCACATGTTTGTATTGTATATATCTGTATGTATTTAGTGGTTTTGTTTTATTTTTCATCCAATATTTTTATTTTAATGAGCATTGTAAATATTTAATTTAATTTTATGGCCACACAGGCATTTCCTCTGTAACTATAATTTGTCCTAAAGGGACAAAAGTCCCAGGATAATAAAAATCTATTTTCATTTCATTATATGAAGTTCATGTACATATAGAAGCCTGTTATAATCTTTCAGGTGAGCTCAGATGTGCTTGTATTCCTTTGCTCCTTCCATTACAACTGTACTCCGTTACTATCTCTTATTTCTTCTTAAATTAATCATCAAATTCTTTCATATTTTATATTTAACTATTTTTTATATCTGAGTTTTATGTGAAATGGTTAATTATTTCAAATAAAAAAAATTAAAGATATTTTAGAGGAAGAAATATTGAAAATTAGCCATTTAAGCCCTGTTAGGGAACATCAATGAAAATTAAATCTATATTACATTAAAAACTGCTTAATTTTACTCCGATATAATGAATTTCATCAAAATCGTTAGAGCCGTTCTTGAGAAAATCGTACAAATGTGTTAAATCGATGATATAAATTTCCATTTCCGGTAAGCAGATTTTGACGAAAAAGTTACTGTGACATCCTAGGCATATACAGACCTTAAATATGTAATTTCCTTCTCATATGACTTTTCATTTTGGAGCTATACTGTTAACAGACACACACACCATTTTGTGGGACTTAGTTATTTGGACTCAGGGAACCTCAAAACGGGCAATTCTGCTGAAAACTGCAATTCAAAAATTTTCACGATCGCAATACTTTCCTTTATTATATATTTCATATAAAAGTAAATGAAGTTAAAAAACTATTAAAAAATATACTTATAATTAGAAACATTACTTAACTGTTTCTCCGGATTATGCAGGTTCTGGAAAAAATTTGATTTCTTTATGTAAACACACAAAACCTTACATAATTAATGACACCAATTTTTGTTTTGAATTGTAGTTTAATGAGATTCAACATCCTAATCTTATGAGCTTCAATGAAGGTTGGAACGACATGTTATACAACAGAATGCTAACCTATTGTAATCTAAGTGAGGTAAACATTTATCACCTGGTTTGTCACAAAATAAAAGTAAACCAAAGCTGAATCAAGAATGGCTCATGGCATAATTTATTTATAGTACATCATCAGAATTTTGAAAACAAAATACAGAAATAACATTTCAAAAGAAAATTTATACCATGAAAACTTAGGAGCAGTGGCTTGATGAATGGGCGATCTCTCCTTAACTAAAATAATTCTCGTAATTTTAGCATGTATTTTCATAATTGTATAGTAAATGGAATGGCCTAATCCTAATCCATTGCAAAAAAAAAAAAAAATGATTTGAAATTTAAAATAACATAAACCTTTAAGAAAACTCTTGGTAAGGAAGTACAAGTACTATTTCTTGACCAATGTTTTTGGAAAAAGGAGATCTGGACAAGTTATATTTGTCAATTCCAAAGTCAAATACCCAATTTACAAAGGCTTGGTATACCCTAAGAGAATAATAGGACTCCAAAATCAATCCAAATTTGATAAAACAGATAATGAATTTCCTACCCTTTTTTACTTTCACTTACCAAATATATATATATATATATGTGTGTGTGTGTGTGTGTGTGTGTGTGTGTGTGAGTGTGTGTGTGTGTGAGTGTGTGTGTGTGTGTGTGTGTGTGTGTGTGTGTGTGAGTTGAGCGGCAAGTGAAAGTTTGTGTGTTGCGTGCACCTGATTTTTTTCTTGCTTTTTCAGCTAGACAAGATTTTTACTATGTCAGGGGAGAGGTTAGGGGATTAATACCAGAGTTAAAAGACCTTCCAGAACCGGAATTTGAACTCATAATTTTTTGTTCAAAAGGTTGCCGGTTAATGTTAACCCACTTAGCCACTCACCCTTCAAGAATTAGCTCTCTGTGCCAAGCTTAACCCTTTATGTATTAACGACAGCTATAGCCGCTTCAACTGGACATGGCATTGTTGCTATAGTGGGGCATTGGGCGCCCCACTCCTATCCTCAGTGCTAACGTCAGCTATAGATGATGTTCCACTGCTATTCCTTCCATTTGCTAATGTCATGTATAACCGTGACCTTGCTACATTCTACTGGTTTCCTAGTGAAATAAAGCTTCTAACTAGAGTCTACAGATGGCGTGGGGATTTATTTTGTAGAACTCATGAACCATTATAGGTGACTTAACTGTTCTCAGGCTATCTTGACCATTTTCATTCTTATTTCCGTGTTCTATGTGAAACAACCATGTGTTCAACTGCTCTGAATTTATAAAAAATGTCATTTAGTTTAGTCTAGTTACTTTAGTTAGAAATTAGATCAAATAAGATTAGTTTAATTTTTTACATGGCCGTATAGAATTAATTATTTTAGTTATTTATTAGTTGAAAGTTGGTATTGTTTTTATTTTTTGCTTCGTTATTTTCTTTAAAATGGAGAAACAGCAATGGAACAACTGCAGCAGAAGCAGCTGAAATCATTACTACTGCCGAAAGAAATATAATATTAAAAAAATATTTGGTGCAAAACCAGAATAGAATGTTGCAATTGTAAGGTTTTTATTCGAAATGACAAATGTTTCGAAGAATACCACACAAAATTAAATTATTAAATAAATATTTAAATGTATAAAACAAAAATAAATACAATAATAAAAAAGCAACTATAACTCCTCTAGTGTCGGTCCATAGCCCGAATGAAAAAGGAGAATAGAAATAATAAAATAAGGTTAAAATATAGTAGTAAGAACCGATAATAAAGGGTGGAAAGCAGGTAAAAAGTTTGTAGCACGGGCAGGTAGGCACCTAGCCAGCTTACTCAGCACTATGGTAGAAGTAAAGCTCATCACTCGCAGCAGAGAAAAGGTTAAATCTCAGCCAATGACAATTTATTTACAGTGAATTCTGATTTTCCTGACCATGCGAATTTCCTGAGATATTTCTAACTAGTAGATTTACTGTAACAATTAATGTTTTATCCCAGATTTCTTTTGTAGATTTCATCCAAATTTAAAGTTTTGAATATTGGTCCTTCAAGCCGGCAAAGATAAAGTACTTCAAAATTATGAAGTTTCTACATGATCCAATCAGTTTCTCAGTATTCTTTTCTTCTGGTACTCTCTCCTCTCAGCAGTGCTATCTCCATCTATTTCAAAGGTGATTCTTGACGATGGAAAGCTCTCACGACACCTAAGTCTGATTGTTTTTATTATTTAGTTTAGGCAACATCATCTAAATGATGAAACGATACCTTTTCATGTCTATTCGTCTTCTTCATTGTAGCGGCGAACTCTAACATTTAAAGTAAGTAATTCATTCGTTATTATCTGCATCTTACAGATACAGTAGCATAGTTGCATACTATTTTATTAATACTGTCTAATTAAAAACAATAGAAAAATCTATGATGAACCTATATCTTCTCTATGCCTCGAATTGCCTAACCAAAACGGCTTTATAGAAGGTAAACTTGATTTTGAGTGGAGCATGACCCTCACCAAGTGCAGAAAAAGTTTTCCAGTTTCAAGATTGTTTACAGTTTGCTCTACACAAAAATGTATAGATGGATTTGAGCCAATTGATTATTTCAAACAGTTTTTCACTGAGATTCATTTTATTACTTATGTTTATTTTGTTTATAAACTTGTAAAAAAAAGAACGTGTTTAGTTTATCCAATTTTCAAAAAATATTATTCTCCCATATTTCCATATAAAAAGTTCTTTTCTAAATGCTTTTTGGCAAACTTACTTCTATACTTTTATTAATTATATTGTATGTTATTTTTGTCATTATTTTGATTGGTTTACCTAAATATATCATAAAATGGTTAATAAACATTTCTATAATCGTTATAGATCAGAAGAACAAAAAAAAAAAAAAAAAAAAAAAGGAGCAACAAATCCCTAAGGGACTATTTCTTCGATTTGATGAAGCAATACTTTTAACGTAGGTTACAATAGCGATACCTTTGCCGGCTTAAGTTCCAAGATACATGTAAAATAAAAATAAATAAAGTTCATAAATAATACCATCTTCATCCTAATAAACCTCAAGTAGAAACATACCTGGGCCAAAGATTTTGAATCTAAATTTTTGACTGTTTCAAGCTTTCTAATAGCTGCTTCGTGGTTGCCCTTTTCCCTGGTATGATACTGAACAGCTTGAACCAGCTGTTGAACAATAACTCCTAAAGTAGCTTCTTGCATCGTCAGCATATCTAGAAAATAAAAGACAACAGTTTAAAGAACTATTAAAAATATCAGTTCTGTCTGGCTCATTCAACTATTCTGCTCTGATGAAGACCACAGTGTGGGTCTAAAAGTTAGCATTGAATAAATAATTATATATATATATATATATATATATATATATATATATATATATATATATATTCTTTTTAATAATTTATTGTTTTCTAGTACTATAAATTTATTTTTAAGAAAAATTATGGACACTTTATAATATAATTGAAAGACTTGGTTCTGCAATTAATAATGAATCTTTTATTTTTTATTTTTTTGGCAGCTAAAAATTGTATACCCATATTAAGTCCTGCTGTAACAGATGGTAGCTTAGAAGATATGATGTACTTCCATTCTTATAAAAATCCAGGATTAGTTGTTGACATCTTTGAATGTTAGTATAAGAAAATTATAGCTTACATGTTTAGATTATTTGGCTTCTTTACTAAAGATAGTAGGGAAGTTTTGTAAAAAAGAAAAGTTCTTAGTGTGAAATCACTAACATATCTAGGTTTTGCATCTTTATTGAGCTTCACCATCAAAGGTAGAAGAGCTTCTTAATTCGTATAAGAACTTAGAAAAATATCTGTGCCAAGAATCAAAAATTTTCATTCACACACAACATTTTAGAAATCAAAGAACAAATTTGGTTCCATATCTGTCTGTCTATAGTTAAATCTGTGTGATGAATCAGCTATTGCAACTGATCTGATTTTCATAGAACTCTCAGAGATTGTGACCTAGATAGGGACCATGTTCCATATCAATTTCATCATTATTTTGTCTACTTATGTACAGGTAAAGGTATTTTCATTCTTCTTTTCCAACACACTAGTGAGTCATGATTACCAAAATTCCAGTTCCTCACACCTTGTCCAGCATTATGCATGCATCATGGGTCACACTTCTTTCCATCTACATTTCAATCTATTTTCTAAATCCACCATTGGATTTTCCCTGAATAGGTTTACTTTGCAATATCAGGGTCTTTGTATAAACTATCAATTTGCTGATTATATATAATAAAATATTAAAAATTTCACAGTAAAATAATTAACCGGACAGATTTTTATTATAAAGAACTACGTTATAATAATTCTAATATTTTTATTTATTTAAAGCTCGAAATATGTGGAATGTAAAAACAGGTGAATTAAATCAAATAATAGTGATCATCCTGCTGAGAGAGATTTTCCCAATAGTTAAATCAAATTACTAATTTTTTTGGTTTTTACTGAAACAAAATAATAAATATAAGCAGTCACACTTAACAGCATTATATATTAGGGTTCTAAAAAAAAAAATGAATGAACAAACAAAAAAATTGAAATTTTTTACAATGAAAGTTGCCTCACTTGTTATTGTATATAAATAAGATTATTTCCTCCTTATTCTATTAAGTTCCTTGTTATCTAGTTCTTATTTTGCATGTGGTAGAATAACCTGAATAATATAATAAAATTTTGCATTACCTCTACGATCTGGAAGAGAATCTGATAAAGCAGGTTGGAAAATTACATTTGTAATTCTTCTGTCCATTCCACCATTTGAAACTAGATTTCTTGCATACAGAAGTAAATGAGAAACAATCTAAAGAAAAAAAAATTCAGTAATAACTAAATCAAAATAACTATTTAAAAGTTGTCTAGTTTGGTTTATCAATTACTGATATAATTATTTTCAATAATTAATCTTTGCTATTGACTAAGAATAAAAAAAGGTAAACCCTTCACAAAATTTGAGGATTTACATTTCAAGATAAATGGAATCTGAAATTTTAAAAAAATATTGGTTTTTTGGTATTTAAATTCAAAACGCAAGAAAACAGATAAATATAAGTAAGCTACGGTATAACAATCATAATAGTTTAATTTATTCTTTTGATTTATATAAAGTAATATAACTTAATTTACTCTTTTGATTTGTTACAATTCCTTTCTAATAAAGAATAAAAAAATGTCAGAAGCAATCATTTTTACCTCAAGAAATGTGATCACTACTTCAGACTTTGCCCTTGGATTCATACCAGAGGGATCTACATCTTTTTCAATATCTCTTAACAAGCTTTCAGATATCACAAAGCGTGAAACAAGGCTTAACATTAGTCTTTGAATCCTCGTGAAAAGTGCAGTTGACTCTAAAACACTACCTGGATCCATTCCTTCTTCTCCTACTGCTTTAATCATTTCTGAAATAAATAGGACACCATCAAAATATGTATAAAAAAGGAAAAATATTTCAAAGCTTGTGATAAAAGATTTTTAATACAGCTAAAGAAATGTAAAAAGCAGAGCTGGCTAGAAAGTAGTATATACAGAGATATGAGGATTTGTGTTGATATAAATGATATCAATGTGTTAAAATAAACCTTTCCAGGTTTATTAATATTATTAATACGTAATTTCTACATTATGTATTATATCAATAGTCCACTTTTAAAACCATAAAAGGCACCTCTTCACTTTAGTAGCCATGATCGTTATAGATCACAGGTCGATGGTGGCTTGGAAAAATCATGACACTCTGTTTACACTGTCAGAAGGCATAGGAGATATAGTGCTCATTTATTCTTTATAGGTATATTATTCATTAATTCACAAAATTTCTTTTTTTCATTTTTCTGGCTTTTAGATTCTTACCACCTTTTTTTTTTTTATTGTTAGCTAACTTATAAGAATCACTATGTTTTAAATAAGATGTTTCTGTTGATATCACATCTTATTATTTTCTACTTAACTCCATTATGAAATTCTTATTCTTAATATTTCTTATACAATATATATTGCCATGTGAATCCATATCAATCAGCCAATCACAGGAATTTGGTTTTCATGATTTATGTCTAATACTATTCCATAAGATGTGCAGCTAATATATTGACTTTCAAATATTGGTGAAAATGACCAATATTTGAATTTAAAAACAGCAAAAACAGAACATGAGCAATTGAAAAAATAGATAATTATTTTTAGAACTAAAAAGTTCAGTATTTTTGGTAGAATAAGCAATAAAATTTATTATAAATAAAAATAATATTAAAAATTACCATCATTTGTTGATCGAGCAATAACACCAGTCAATTGAGCAAGTTCTTTCAAATAACATAAAGGATGAAAAGGACTTCCAGACCTCAGCACTAACGTTACCATTTCCCCATGACAAAGTAGAAATTTTAGAACCTAATAACCAATAAAATAAATGTTATATTCGGCAACACTTACATAAGGATACATTAAACTTACATAAGGATACCGCACAATGGACCCAAAGGGGTCGACGTGCTTAAAGCCAACATTTAAAAAAAAAAAAAAAAAAAAACATAAGGATAAATTTTCTGAACAACATACATAATGAAGTAATCGCATTATTTATTAAAAACTTAAGAAATAATTCTTAATCATACAATATAGAATAATTAAAGTAATTACAAAGTATGCAATAATAATCAAAGGATTCTTTAAGTAATAATAAAAAACTATTTAGTAAATCCTGATGTTATGACTCCCATAGAAGGACCTCTTCAGGACAAAGAACAGTCATTAACTTGTCTATCTGCAGCAAGTCATGTAAAACAATAATGATGATTGCAAAAACAAATTACTATTTTCAAAGTAATTGCACATACCTAAGGGTGGGGCGGGGTGGCCAAACGGGCTAATGCGTGTACACAGCACCACGTGTTGCCCGGATCTAAGATTATATTATATAACTAATTATGAGTTCGCGTTCCGGAGCCTGGGAGGGTGGGGGGAGGAGCTTTTAACTCTGGCATTAATCCTCGCCCTTACCCTCTGGCCTGGGAAAACCCTGTATAGTGTAAAAGGTGTGGAAGGGGAAGACACTAAAAAAAAAATCGTGCGTACTTGCCATGAACTATTAGATATTTAATAAAATAAATATTCAAAATTTTATTAATAACTTGTATATCTGCATAAAACTTGTGCATCTGTTGCCGAGACAATTGCTAAGTAAGATCATGTTAGACAATGGCGGCCACAAATGACGTCATGCAGTCACAGCGGTGCCCGTGGGTTTTGGGTAGGGGACCCCTCCACTACAATACTCATCTCTCCTAGTCATCTATTTTCATTCTCTGGACACAAATACTTTTTCCTTTAATGATAGGCTTCTAAATCAATTTGCTTTGTAATTTGCTCCAATTTTTAAAACTCTCACTTGTAACGTTCTATAGTCTTTTTGAAGGTGAGATTAAACATTTAACAAGACAATCTATCATCACCCTGTCAAACACCTTTGTATGTCTCGAGGAGCACACTCAGTTCATATTTTACCTTTACAACAATTCAACATAATCTTAATAAGGCGATATAATTTTTTCAGTTCCAGTAGTACTTTCCAAAACCAAGGTGAATAAGTTCTCTGAATACCTCTTGTTATCAAGTACCAGAAGAAAACTGGAATGGCTGGAATTCCAGAAAATCTACTGGTAAGAAGTTTGTAAGACTCTAACAAATGGAAGAAGATAATATAGAATGACACAAACAAGGAATGGAGCTGTCAGGGGGTGACGAGGATTGGAAATATCCTAAGAAAATACTTTCCTACCTCTCAACTATATGTGGAATATGCCCTAGACCATGAGTCTCCAAACTTTTTGGCCTGTGGGCCACATTGAGACTTGGACTAAGTTCTGCAGGCCGCATTGAGACCTCCATCCAAGTCCCGTGGACCATGGCTTGTGATGAAAAAATAAATCTTGTTCTATTAATGACACTTCAGCTCTGAAATGAGCTTGAAATGAGATAAAACCCATGTGATAAATGTTGTAGTAACCTTGTGTGCGAGTAATTAGCTAAATTTATTTTTAAATAGGTTTTAATATTTTACCATGTAATCAAAGAAACATTCATGGATCAGATCCGGCCTGTGGACCATATTTTGGAGACCCCTGCCCTAGACTATAAGGTTTCACAATTCCTCATGGGATTTAGGAGTTTTTGAGCCAATCTATATTGCCTTGCCGAAGATAGATACCTAATAACCAACTTGTGATATTCTGGAGACTGTTGAACATAAGATTATGTTCACCTGCACTGCATTTTGGTGTTAAGATTCACTTTAATAAAAACCATGGGAATATTCATCCTCACTAATGGGTGAGGAAATCTTTTTATGGTTCAAAGAATTTGTTTATGCTTGGAAAAGGTTCAGCCTATTTTAATCATGGAGCTTGAAAGAAAATGATACCGTCTTCACCAGGAAGACTGACTGAGAAAATGAGGGAAGATTAAAGTGCTAAAGAGAAGGCCCCAGAATCCTCTGGCATCAGTGAATTACTGCTTCCCTGATTATAGCCTCTTGGATTACTATTCATATAGATTTTCATAGTTTAAAGAAGCATAAATGTTTCATAAATTAAATGTACAAAACATCAGAGATGGTAGGTTACCTGAACAATGGCTGCCTGGTTCTCAACACCCATAGAAGATATTATTGCATCACAGAGAGCAAGAGCTGGAGACAATATTTGAAGGTATCGTGTACTTACATTTGGAACAAAATCCATGTCCATAACTGGCCTATAAAACAACAATTAGCCTCTAAGATTTACAAAATTATTATCCAAGAATTAAAAGAATGAATGTAAATTAAACTAATTTTCTTACAATGGTATGTTTGTAGTTATTTCAGGATGTTTATTATAAACATTTAATGTTGAAAGACATGACAGAGCATTTTGTTCAAGCAACATTTCTGCACCAGAAGGTATTGAGGCAACACGGCAAAGTAAAGCCTAAAAAGTAAATAAAAAGAAATTTATCACATATTTCATATTACAAGTTTAAAAACGGTGTGTTAGAATTTACCAACATCTCAAACATCATCAAATATAGGGATTGAGACTTTTTAACAGAATAGAAATAGAAAAATTATTGCATACATTAATCTGTTTGCTAAATTTATGTTTATTTAATTGTATAATACGCTCACCTAACAAGAAATAGATGAAAAATCCTCATGAAATTTTATTGAAAAATTTTATCACAGTTTTAAAAAAATAATATTTTAAACTCAGAACAACTGAAAAGTATAGTGTCAAATGGAAATCAACAAAAATATTCCTCATTAATGAACTGAAATCACTATTGAAGCAAACCAGCTTCCCAACATCCCTCAGAGATTGGGGTGGTAATAGAGAGATCATCAGCAATTAAGAAAAATTGCCATTTAAGGAAACTTATTGAACTCATTTTTTTAAAGTCAAATATTCCTCAGGGCTCAGTAACTGCCTTCTAGAGGAAATGTGAGATGTGGTTTATCAGCATTAAAGGGTTTGTATCATTAAAAAAAAATGGGATTGTTGTGTGAACGACCAGGAAGCAATCGGTACTATAAATATATATATATATATATATATATATATATATATATCTAATATATATATATATATATATATATATATCTAGTATATATATATATATACTAGTATATATATATATGTACTTACATATATATATATATACTAGTATATATGTATACTTTTAAAAGAAATTATAATTACTGCTAATAAACTTAAATGTATACATACATACATATATATATATATATATATATATATATATATATATATATATATATATATATATATATATATATATACATTTAAGTTTATTAGCAGTAATTATAATTTCTTTTAAAAGTATTCTATTCTACTCATGTTCTTCCTAAAGAATCTCATTGATATTTTTTAAATTGATAAGTAAATATAAACAAATTACTATGTACTAAAATTGTTTACCATTTTGGATTCATAAACATAGAGTGCTCTGAGAGACTTCACATTATTAGAAAGGAGTGCAACAAGTTGTTTATCAGAGTCTAAAAGAGAGTGGATAATAAACTTCATATAGCCTCTTGATGATAAGACATTTATCCAAGAAATATCAGAATCCAGTTCCACAACCATATCAAGGCAAGACAAGGCCAGCATCTACACAAAATATTTTATTATAAAAAGGAAAAAATAGATTAAAATATATATTTTAAACAGCAAAACATAATTTAACTTTACCTTACAAATATCATGACCAGTTGAAGAATCGTGACAAAGAATATCTACAAGACGATCACCATAAGAACGAATGGAATTAAAACTCGACATGAAAATCCCTAAAGCTGGTCTTTGTACTTCCATTGTGGTATTATCAAGTAATGTTACATAAGTACTGTCACGAGATAAGCCGGTTGGTTTCGTTGATCCACTAACTTTTTCACGATTTAACTGAAGAAAATTTAGAAGGGCTGCATACAGATTAGCTCTTAATTTCTGAGTTGCTACTCCTAAAATATTAATTCAACAAATATAAAATACATTTTTCAATGGGTGAGCGCCAGAGAGGTTTGACAGAGACTAGAGAAATGGGAAGAGGGGGCTGCACAGTACAATGTGTATGTCCGTCAAACACAATCTCAGGTATATTTTCCAAATATTTCAAATTGTTTGTTCTTGAAATTTTTAAACATTATTTTTTTAAAAATAATTTATTTGCTAAATAAGCTATTTTATAAGAAATTGAATAATTTTTGACATTTTTTTTTTGGAAACTGTTTCCTCAAGACAAAATAAAAACTTTGATGAAAATTTGAATTTACAATTATACTACATAAAGTTAAACCTCTGACAATCAAACTTCCATTAACTGATGATCTGTATATATCAAATAAAAAGTTGTATTAAAAAATATATAAAATTTAATTATCATCAAAAAGTATCTTACTTCAACAGATTAAAGAAATAATTAAAAACCCAACATAGTTTCACTATTTCAGAAAGCAATAGAGATTCAGGAAGAATCTTGTTTAGAAAAATTTTAGGAAGGAAGAATTAGGAATGTCTGCATGATATATAAAACTACAAAGGATTATGAATCAATTCAAAACCTGAAACATCATTTCAAATATTTAAAGGTCACAAATGAAATAATTGTATAATAACCTGATGATAGAATCCATTTAATCAGATTTGTAAGTATAGTTGTTAGTTTATACTCAATGCTGGAGTATTTAGAATCAAGAAAATTGCACAGCTTGCTGTCAGACTCATCATCTTTACCAAGATCTGAAATATATGTCTGGCGAAGATCGACACAAAGAAGAAGAATAGAGCCAGATGCCAATTTGGCAATTTCAGATTGAGTTGAAGAAACAACTGCCTGTTCAGAAAAAAAGTATTATAATAAATATACACTACAATGATAATAAATCTAAAATTGTAAAAAAAGAAACAAAAAAAAGATAATAATTTAATTATGATTATTATTTATAAAACTGATAAAATAATCTTTTCTGTTTTTTGCTTTCACCTCATTTTCACTTTCTGAAATTAATGTTCACATAAGCAGCCAGACTTCCTTAAGCAATCATATGGGGCAATCATATATGGGTAAATCTTTGTATTAGAAAAATTATTTTCAGCTAACATTAAATATAATATAGGATTAAAGTTTCGAATTTAATTAATTTTTTTTATTTAAGTAAAGTATTTAACTGAAAAAATAAAATAAAACAGTCCAGTTTTAACATTACAGAATTTCTGTTTAAACTATTGCATAGTTTACTGTAATATACTTATGGCTTAAATAAATAAGACAATCCATACCTTGCTCAGCAGTTCATGTATAATGTCCACAAGTAGTTTGAATCTTTTTTCAAGATTCAGTGCATCTTGAGAGGCAAAGGCAAACATTACTTCGGTAGCTTGACGCCACGCATCAAAATACCTAGCTGTAGCATGTAAAACTTTCTTAGAGTTATTGTATTCCTCAACATACTTCAGAATTTCCTAGAATGTTATAAAAATATTGATAATTAATGCAATTAAAAGTTTGAAGAAAATATAAAATTTATTATTAAGGTTTTATATATAAATAATAAATACAAAGAGAAAAAACCAAAATAATCAGAAAAAGTGATAAATTTAGAATAAAATTCTCAGAAAATTTTCAATAACTACTTTAATAACCAAATTTCAAAGTCATATATTCATATTTAGTAGAAAACTTAATATTTTAATTCAATACTTAAGGAAAATAACACATGACAAGAGATATTATGCGGTGTCATTTACAATTAAATTAACTTATGTTTAATGTTTAAATTTAGTATAATAATAATAAAAGGCTTGGCGAACCCGAAGGTTCGATGCCGATACCACCAATCGCTTATTCCACACCTCCCTCCACCGTTCGCCGTCCAAACCCAGTCCCTTCAGATCGGCTTTGATGCAATCTTCCCACCTTCGCTTCGGTCTACCCCTCGGACGCTTACCATTCGGCACAGCAAATATTAACCTTTTAGGAATTCTCTCGTTACTAAGCCCAACAACTTTATAAGCCCATTTGATTCGCCGCGATGAAATTACCTCACTTATATTACCCGGATACAACTCACGCAATTCGGCGTTGTGTAACCTTCTGAACTCTCCGGTTAACTCATCCTTCTTCGGACCGAATATTCTACGCAATACTTTATTTTCAAAAACCTTAAGACGCTGCTCATCCCTTAATGTAAGCGGCCAAGTTTCGCATCCATAAAGAACTGTAGGCAAGATAATTGTTTTATAGATTCTAATTTTTAAGTTCCGGGACAAGAGGCGCGAACTAAGTAGTTTTGTCACAGAAAAATAACAAGCATTTCCCGCCTTGAGTCTAACCTTAATTTCTTCTTCAATTTCGTATTTTCTAGTTATCGTAGAACCTAGATACCTAAATTTATCTACCTGTTCAAACATATTACCATCTATATCGATATCACCAGTAGTATCGCCATTTTTGCAGCTAACCATATATTTTGTTTTATCCACGTTTATTTCGAGTCCTAGTTCTTTACCGGCTTTCATTAACGTTGTCGTATTTAGTTTTATAGTTTCAACGTCTTCGCTTAACAGTACCAGATCATCAGCATAGCCCAGCACGGATGTTGTCCCGCCCAGATCCAACCCTTTCTCGGTTCGCATTACCTCCCTAATGGCATGTTCTAATGCCAAATTGAACAGGACAGGCGAAAGGGAATCCTCCTGTTTTAAACCCGACCTAACCTGAAATTTTTCTGACAGATTATTACCGATTCTAACTTTATTGAGTGTTTCCGTCAAGCACATCCTGACTAGATTTACTAGTTTTTTTGGAATCCCCTGCTCGATTAAAATATTATACAGTTTCTGGCGGTCAATAGAATCGTAAGCCTTTTTAAAATCTATATACAGCTGGTGAACAATACCGTTGTACTCCAATGTAAAGAAAATATTTGATCAATAGTCGAACGATTCCGTCTAAGTCCGCATTGGTAGTCTCCAATAATTTCCTCGGCGTATTCCGTGATTCGATTGGTTAAGATTAAAGTGAATATTTTATAACATACCGGAAGGAGTGAAATTCCTCGATAGTTATTACAATCCGTCCTCGGGCCCTTTTTGTGAATCGGAATAAGAATAGATTCTTTTCATTCTTCAGGTAATTTCTCATTCACTCAGATCTTTTTAACCAACCGATGTTTAAATTTAGTATATATAAGCAAAAATTATTTTTTTTAAAATAATTAAAAAATCCCTTAAAATAGTATGGTAAAAATCTAAAGTAGTGAATGAGCCAAAAGATAGGAAAATTATATTTGATGAATATGTAGATTAATGTTTGGATGAGGTACATAATGAAGGGAGGTATACCAACAACTGTTGCTGTCTTGGTAAAGGAACCTTGCCCACATTCATCAAACCTAATTACTAAAATCGTATTTTTTACTTCTCTTTTTTGAGATTCTTCTTATTTATTTTGGTTAGCCTTTCATATCATAAATCTCACATAGGTAACAGTGTAGAATCATTTCATGAGTAGCAGATGTAGAAGAACTACTCTACTACCAAGTTTTTGTGCGCAGATAAAAAGAATTAGAGGGGGTTGATCGTTTAAACCTCCTCTAATGTATTAGAAGGGAGGAGAATCAGAGAACAAGTGGAAGACGTATCACGATACTTCTATCAAAATCTGAGTTCCCTGGAGATAAGGGAGGATGGAAATAAATAAATAAATGGTAGATGTAGGGATGGTCGGTAGAAATGTTTAAGTCCCCGAATTAGGTCCAATGGCATTGCTTATTAACAGAGAGGCATTCTAAACATTCTAGAAAGTGTGAGAATAGCCTAATCACACAACATAAGTCCAATGTGTAATACTACATCAATCTTTCTAGAATAGAAATATTTGAAATCCTTAATAGGAAGAAAGTGCAGTATTTAATCAAGAGGAAATAGTAACTATTTTAAAAGTACTGAGTTACTGAAAAAATATATATACAAATCGTTCTGCTTCTTGATGCAACCTCTAGATTCAGATATTTTTTCAAAACAAGCAGTCTATTACAGTCCTTTAAAACAACTAATAAACTGCCCACTTGCATGAATATTGATGAATTATGATTAAATTGGTGTAATGCATATGTTAATGAGCATAATTACACTAAACAATAGTAAACAAAATTTTTAAAAATACCAAATCATAAATAGCTATAATTTCTATAGTAAATAAATTGAATGAAACAGTTAAAAAATTACATTAATTTCATCAAGTAAATGGCTTTTCTTTTTAGCAACACTCATTTCCTTATCCGAAGACTCTGTTATATTACAGTGCTTCATCAGAGAAACATGAACACTTTTAGGATTGATCAATTTAAGACGTCCTTCCTCCATCTCATTTTCGGTTAGAAGCTAAAACAAACAATTAAATTTCAAAAGAGGATTTTAGAAAATAATATAAAATTATCTTAAATAATATAAAATTAAACAAATATACAATAAAAATTCGAATAAGAACTCACATTTTTAATTGTATTGGAATCGAAAAATTCTAAACGAGGTAAGGCAACTGGTTGTACATCAAAGTTCAAATGTTTTATCAAACGCAACACAAGCTGTTCATTAACTTTTGTTTTTTCCACTGGAAATTAAAGTTCATACATAAAAAAAAGTAAAGTTTAATTTTTCTAAATTGTATTTTATCTACAATAATTACAAAGTAAAATTTTATATAGTCTAAAAGAACTAATTTAATTAAAGACACACGTACAACCGCTCTGAAACGTTTGGTCAATGGTATCAGAATCAGCTTGCTTTTGATCTCCAGTATACACCTCCACTATACTAGCTAACTGTGACAGCTGTTGGTTAGATCCAGTTACCTTCATTTCAATGGCAACTGTTTTCAAAAGCCAACTCATTTGTCTCAGTTCAACATCTAAAATTTTAAAATTAAAAACATTTTAAAAAGTAATTTGAAACATAATTTAAGATTCTCAACTATTAATTAATATAGCTAAGATTAAACTACAATAATTTAATTGTACTTTCAATACATTATTTTATTTATTGAAGTAAATCCATGATTAGTTTATTTTTCTAAAAACTAAATGAATAGGATAAATTGCATATATTTTTGGAACAAGGCCTGTACTACCAATGTAAAAGTTAAACAAAATTAATACAGAAAAATTAAATTTATTTATTCAGAAAAAGGTCATCTTAGGGGCATAATTTTAATGAATGCAAGCAGAAACATTCATTAAATTTTTATTTTTGTTTTAATTTTATATGTGCCAATCTGGGCATCTAAGATGATTAAATTACTATCTTCAACTATTTTAGAAATAATATTTGTATTTATAATTCTTAAATTAAAGTTTTTAGTTTATAAAACTATAATCACTAAGATGTGATATTATTTTCATAAAGATCTACTAATCAACCATATTCTCTACTATTTTATATCACATTTCATTGATACCAAGCTATATAGTTTTCAAGAATAATAAGTACTAGTAAGTTGCTACCAACATATTTATGCAATATATAAATATAATATATAAAAATTGTACCTGTAGGATTATCACAGAATGGGAGAGCAGATAAATGTCTTCTAAGAAAGTCTCCTGAACTACGAAGAAAACGTAAAACAGGTTCTGAAGTACGAGTATTATATGCCAATGCATAAATTATTTTATAATAAAGTTCAACTAAAGCTGGTGAACTTTCACTAGGATGAATTAGAAAATTGTTTAGCCTTCCGATAACTGAGTGGAGACAGGATCTGGGTTGGCCCCGTACACCTAATCAAACATAATAAATTTAAAAATTATAATTGTTAAAAAATATCCCAAAAAGGAGGGGGAAAACCAAATAGACAATATAAGTATTTATGCAACCAGTACTATGTTCTGTTTTATAAGTGGATTAAAGTAAAATAACTTATTGAACATTTATATGATAAATATGGGCACTAGCACACTCGATTTTAACCAGGTTTATGCTCTATAAAAACATATACCAATTTTGAAAATAAGTAGAGAAGATTATGATGAGGTTTTAATATTATGTTCCCTACTTTGGTTTTAAATGAAACAGAATATAAGAAAAGAATGAGGAAGGAATCATGAAAAAATTGGTTGAATCTCCTCTTACCCGTGGTAAATAAAAATTGGATGAAGTTTAAAGTAAATAAAAAAAAAGGTATTAAACATAAAAATCAGCAAGTGAAACACAAGATATCACGGTTAAAGGTTTCAACTAACTATAGTTAATAGCACTTTATCAAATTAGCAAAAAGAGGTTCTTCACTCAAGATTTCTAATTGTTTAGAAAGAAAACACATTACGCTTTTATTACAAATTACTTGATTATCCCTAATATATATGAGAAGATAAGAAAGTATGTAACTAGCAAGATAATCAAAATGAAAAAAAAAAAAAAACTTAATGCAATAAGTCTCTAAGAGGCCAGTAGTATTGTGATTATTTTAATTTCAATTTAAGGGTATAATTAAAAGAAAATCAGAGGCAATAGTAGTTTTTTAATTTGAAATACTTTAAAAATTGTCCAAGCAATTCAGCTTATTGACATCCGCAGATTTTTCATTGCTTTGAAGGACATTCATAATGAGATTTCTCTCATCGTAATGAGAAACACATGTATAGTTGGTGAAAAGGAAACAGAATATACCCCTATAAAAATATTATAGGTCAATAAGAAGGATGTAAATCAATATCAGCAAACAGCAACCTTATCTTCAAAAAATGACACACTTCATAATTGTATATTAATATCCCTCCTTCCTTTATATAAGAAAAAACAATGTTTAACTATCAACCATAATATCTGGTTTGAATCACCCTCACAGAGAAAGGCTATTCGATTGAGGAGACAGAAATGAATAAATAAAAAAAAGAATATATACCTGGCTGTTGAAATTCTGTTTTTTTTATTTCTTTATTGAGGTCAAAACCAAATAGATAATGTGCAACATTCGGGGCACCAAGTGATAGAGTTTGAAGGAGAAAATTACAAATAGAAGTTTTCATTTGAACTATTTCTTCCTCATCTTCATCAGCTTCTAAAGCACCGACAAATCCTGGTCTCAATTCACCAGCCGTAAAAAGTGAAAGGAGATGGCCAGGTGGAGTTGATGATAAGGAAGTTATTAAATAAAGAATATTAACAGCCGGTAAGGCATGTCTTGATAATAAATGATCGTAAGTAACATACCTGAAATTAAGACAAGTTATTTGGTACATTGTTTTCAATATAACAGTAAGTGGTTTTATATGGTTGTTTATAATAATGAACAAAAGTTCTAAAATATGTAGTACTTATTCTTTATAGACATTTTCAAAGTTAAAAAATATACGAACTTGGCTACATTCAAAAGATGGTCAGGTTTACTCGTAACGGGGTTGATGCCAAGTATTAGTCTGTTAAGTCCAGGTAAAAGAAGTGAACTATTTCCTGAGCTGAGAAGACTAAGAAACTGTTGTTGTATAGCGAGACCATGTTCAAGCATTCTTAAAGAATAATAAACAGCATTCTCAAGTTCCTTTTTACCAGCAAAGTTCGTGTAAGTGTCCAAAATTCTACAGCCTTCGTCTAAAAGAAGAAGTACCTGAAAAAAGAAAATGAAAATAATAATGCCTATTGGCCCAATTAAATGATTGAAGTAGAAAAACAACAACTAAACACAAAACCCACCCTCCAATACAACATTACAACTCTTCATACCAATAACATACCAACCAAAACCTACTAAACCCATCCTAACCCAAACCAATAATCCCAATCCATAACCACCAGATCACTCATATTCTTAAAAAATAGCATATCCAACATGCACATTCTTTTACAATATAATCACCTCCAACAACCAATAATCTTCACCAACATCCTCCTACAATAACATCCCCCTCCCCACTAACACACCCCACCACCCCAATACCATAACCAATAATCCTAACCAACAAACATAAAAACACACCCAATATACTACTCAACCAAACTTATAATAACCCACCACTCACCAATACTCCTTACACCCAACCAACCCACACACCCCACATCAACATCACTCAACCAACCACCCAAAAAAACAACAATTTACACAAACCCCAAACAAAACACCTCACACAATACCAACACATCAATTTTAAAATCCAAATTAAATCCACATCAAATCAAATACCCCACCAATCACAACCACCCCACATCCACACTTACCATCCCCACCACCACAACCAACCTTAAAATCCATCTCTTAATACAAACTACACCCACCATTACCACCTACATTACCATCCCCTTTACTACAAAACTCCCCCAATAATCATTAATCCATCTACCCTTACAATATCCTACACTTTCACATATAAACCCCCAGCAATACTAAACAACTCACCCACCAACAAATAAACATAAATTAACCAACACTTACCCCATCCATAAAAACACTATATATCTAAACATATTTATACATACAAAATTAGCAAAAAACCCATCAAAAAAACAATTATACCATTCATACAACCTACATCTCTTTACACCACAAAATCAATCACCATTTAACATTTATCCTTTACAAAATTTAATAATAACTCCTTTACACTTCACATTTCTCTTCAAACTAACTATAATCACATCCAAAATACACCATCCTTAAAATTTCTATTATCCTTTTACTACTATAACCATATCCCCTCAAACCCCATAAAAACATATTATTACACCACAAAATCCCCCCAACCATTGTTCCCCTCTCCCCCATCCCAACACTCCCCCCCAAAAACATCAAAATATTACCCACCAAATAACCACCAAACTCAACCTCCAAAAAATCCAACCCCCAAACAAACCTACAATACATATTCACCATCCATATATTAATAACACCTAAAATATTAATAATAAAAACAAAACAACAACATAAATTACTATATTATTATTATATTTATATTTCTTATTAATATATATCTGTATGTATATGTATATATTAACAACAAATAGGCAAAAAACAGGCAACACCAAATATATTTATATTTCTTATTATATGAGAGTCTAATTTCATATGAAGATAGGGATTATCAGTGCCTTATAACAATTATCATCATTCAGGTTATAAACATTGGCAGCTAGGGATTATCAGTGCCTTATCACAATTATCAGGTTATAAACATTTGCAGATAGCAGTCCAATGTGCCCACATCGCTCACAAGTACCGCGAAAACTAGCAAGAAATCTTTACCTCTCTTACAATCAATCACTTTGATATTTAAATATTTGCTATATCCAATATCAAATAATTCAAAATCCATGTGATAATAAAATAAAAAAAAACTCAAACTCTTTACTGGCACTGTTATATATCTAGTTAGATAAAAGAAAATACATAAATCATCAATAGTAGAATGTTAAACGAGAAAGCAAAAGTTAAGAAAATATACAAGTGGAAGTACCCTCTAAAATAAATTAAATTTAATAAAAATAACATCTGGAAATTAGTTCCTATTTCGTTATACTGTCTCCAGATCCAGAATTTACAAGAAATTTTTTTTTTAAATGACTAATTCATCAATTCTTAAAATGTAGTAAGAAAAGAACTGATAGGCGCTAAGCAATCTAAGCCTTCTTTCTGAATGGCAGAATATGGAGCATATTACAAAATTTACATAAATGAACCACAAAGAATTTCTCAACACATAGGCACTGTTTATAGCTAGCAATAGGAATTGTAAATAATTCATGCATTTATCTCCAAATAAAAAAGATAACAAATCGAACATTGTTAAATGAAGTTATATAATCTAACCATATAAAAAAAATTGTATTTACAAAACTCATAGAGAAACAAAAAAGATATACATATTTAAAATTCTACCAACCTTTTCTTTAGCATTTTTATAAGGTCTTCCATGAAATCTCAATAAAACTGAATTAAGAATAAAGTTAAGATATGGATCAAATCCAGGAGTTCTTTGTGAGGCTCCAAGTAACTTCGGAATGGGTTTATCCGTCAGAGCACTGAACAGGCGTAGGACACTTCTGGTCAAAGGATATTCTTCATTTCGACATTCTACTTCTTCCAATTCAGCCTGGACAAAAAAATCAACAGTAACCTTTTAATAAATTATCAAATACATTTTATAAATTATAAAATTAAACAATTTTATAAATTATAAAATTAAACAAAAATAAATACAGCTAATGAATATTCCATGTAAACTAATTTGTAATTAACTTTTAAAATTAATTGTTAATATTTTTAATTAATAGTATATCATTAGCTAGAACTTACTGATTAAAAAACGACATATCTCAATATGATGGAAATTAATTAGTGATTAATTTTAATCATTGTTTTGACATGTCTAAATAGTTACGATTTGTTAGTTATATAGTATCATATTGGGACTGATATATTTTTACTTTCACTTACCTATATATTAAATATATAGTAAGGGAAAGTATTGAGATCGCAAACATTTTTGTATCTAAGTTTTCAACGGAAATACATGTTTTGAGGTCCCCCTGAGTCGAAATAACTAAGTCTCTCAAAATGGTTTGGGTGCGTGGGGTATAGTGTGGGGTTAAGTCGTACAAAAGTGAAATTGCATATTTAAGGTTTTTATGTGCTTGGGATGTTACAGCAACTTTTTCTTCAAAATCGGCTAACCGGAAGGGGCACTTTATATCATGGACTAAACACATTTTTACAATTATCTCGAAAATGTCTTTAACGATTTTGATTAAATTCATTATAACAGTGTAAAATGAAGCAGTTTTAAATAAAATGTAGGTTTTATTCTGATTGATGTTCTCTAACAGGGCTTAAATGGCTAATTTTCAATATTAGCTTCCTTTAATTTTTTGTAATTGAAGCAATTAACCATTTCACATTAATCTCTAATATAAAAGATCGTTAAATACAAAATATAAAAGAATTTGATAATTAACTAAAGGAGAAATAAAAGATCGTCACGAAGAATAGTTGTAATTGAGGAACTAAAGGAATACAAGGGCACCTGAGCTCGCTCGAAAGATTAGAACATGCTTACATAAGTAACATGAGGTTAATCAGTTAATCACCTTATGGTGGGGCAACCAGGGCAATTGTCCGACCGATCTTCAGGGGCACTCACTACTTGTTAGAAAAAAAAAACAGTATGATAATAATTATTTTTAGCCAATCAATAAAGCAACTGTATGAGAAAAATATTAAATGAAATAAAATTCAAATATTACATAATATAAAGCAGCTTGAGAAATAAATTTAAATTTTTTATGGGGGGAGGGGGAAGATAACTTCATTGCCCGGAGAGAGGAGGGGAGGGGTGTCGAATGCTTAAGGCTGGCACTGCTTAATAAAATAAGAACTCCAACAATATTATATAAATATACATATGCGGTTTTCATAAATGCTATTGTTGGTATTTTTTAATATTTAATTGTATAGATTACAGCGATATAAATATTAACATTTGTATATATTAGGGTATTTATACAAATAAAAATACCCACAATGAAATATAAATCAATACATAAATAAATAAATAAAAAGGCTTAGCGAACCCGAAGGTTCGATGCCGACACCACCAGTCGCTTATTACACACCTCCCTCCACCGTTCGCCGTCCAGACCCAGTCCCTTCAGATCGGCTTTAATGAAATCTTCCCACCTTCGCTTCGGTCTGCCCCTCGGACGCTTACCATTCGGCACAGCAAATATTAACCTTTTAGGAATTCTCTCGTTACTAAGTCCAACAACTTTACAAGCCCATTTGATTCGCCGCGATGAAATTATCTCAATTATATTACCCGGATACAGTTCACGCAATTCGGCGTTGTGTAACCGTCTGAACTCTCCAGTTAACTCATCCTTCTTCGGTCCGAATATTTAACGCAATACTTTATTTTCAAAAACCTTAAGACGCTGCTCATCCCTTAATGTAAACGGCCAAGTTTCGCATCCATAAAGAACTGTAGACAAGATAATTGTTTTATAGATTCTAATCTTTAAGTTCCGGGATAAGAGGCGCGAACTAAGTAGTTTTGTCACAGAAAAATAACAAGCATTTCCCGCCTTCAGTCTAACCTTAATTTCTTCTTCAATTTCATTTTTTCTAGTTATCGTAGAACCTAGGTATCTAAATTTCTCTACCTGTTCAAACATATTACCATCAATATCGATATCGCCAGTAGTATCGCCATTTTTGCAGCTAACCATATATTTTGTTTTATCCACGTTTATTTCGAGTCCTAGTTCTTTACCGGCTTTCATTAACGTTGTCGTATTTAGTTTTATAGTTTCAACGTCTTCGCTTAACAGTACCAGATCATCAGCATAGCCCAGCACGGATGTTGTCCCTCCCAGATCCAACCCTTTCTCGGTACGCATTACCTCCCTAATGGCATGTTCTAATGCCAAATTGAACAGGACAGGCGAAAGGGAATCCCCTTGTTTTAAACCCGACCGAACCTCAAATTTTTCGGACAAATTATTACCGATTCTAACTTAATATAAATCAATATAGCGTTTATAATTTGTACTTTCACTTCCTTTTGTCTCAAAATACTTATTTCTGCCAGTAAGTGTGTGGTAAGTGAAAGTTGTGTGATGCGCA